AGATATAGGGTGTTCAAAATCGAAATTTCCCAACTTTAGGATTTTTTGTCTCGAAACTATTCATTACGACTTGCATGTCCCTATATTAACTTTTAATTTACTATTTACTGACATTTAATTGGAACATATACAGGGTGGTCAGAATTCTGAATCTTGAACAACCCTGTATTTCTTACAATCAAATATCAGTGGATGGTAAATCGAAAGTTAAGATAGGGACATGTGAGCCGTTGATATTGAATAGTTTCGACACAAAAAATCCGCGATGTATGTTCGAATGGAATTTTCATCATGTCAATCAATTACTGCTAATTAAATTGAAACAAGAAACTGAGATATTACGCACCAACAAGAATACTGGGTCAGTAAACAAATCAATAGTTTGAAAAATGTTCTATTTGTTAAATGGACTTCGTCGAGTACTATACAGTGTGTCCAAGATATCTTATCTTTATTATTATTCCCAAGAAACATACATGTTTATAGCAGGGAAAATTATGAAAGAGTAACTAAAAAAAAAAAAAAAAAAATAAGATAATCAGATAATCATTTTTAAATCATATACATAATACATATAATGTTGTTTCTTCTAGAGACTGTTAAATATAATTTCTTGAATTGATTCAGGATGACATGAAGAGAATCAAAGACATAAGTATTTTTTCAGTTCTTTTTTGAATTTTTCAACACTTAATTTTTTCTTTAGTCTGGGATGAAGTTGATGGTTTCTATGAAAAGATCATAGTATGCAAAATCTCTCAAAATATATAGAAAAAAGCTCAGTCATTCCACAAATGTTCAAAAAATGAACAACAATGGTAGATGACGAAAGAAATCTATTCATCGATACATATAAACGAATACTAATGCAAGTTCTTTGACTCTCATCAGTGTAGGGTACTCTCCAGCTAGCGTCCGAAGACCGCCGGCTAAGCGCAACCTGGCCCCACAAAATCCAATCGGCAATATTGGTATTCAGGTAGCCGCGCGGACGAACCGTCAGTATTCTAATCCGCGTTCGCTTGCCGGTCTTGGGTTCAATTCCCCGAGACTGCAGAAATTTTTCTGATGGCACAAGAAAGTGTTTGAGATCATACGTTGAAAGGTAAGGCCCCCGGCATCCCTTGCTCGCACAAGACTTCTGAGGGTTGCTCGTAAGGAGGCAACCGAATGACGGATAGAACAATTTCAGAACAACAATGTCCTACGGGGCATTAGCAAAGAAAATAGTTGTTTTTATTCCCGTCATCTACCATCATTGTTCATTTTATGAACATTTGTGAAAATGACTGAGCTTTTTTGTATTTATTGAAACCTTCATTCCACATTGAGCATTGTGGCTATTTCGTAGTTGAAATCCCTCAAATTTGGTGGTTCAACATTTAGAATTCTGATCAGTCTGTATCTGTTCCAATTAAATGTCAGTAGATAGTAAATCAAAAGTTGGGATAATGAACATGTGAGTCGTTTTGACCAATAATGAATAGTTTCAACACAAAAAAATCCTAGTTGAATACTCTTAATTTTGAGCACCCTATATCTCTGTAATCATTTCCGCTAGATTCCAAGTGTGATGCATTGATGAAATCAACTCTTCGAAGAGAATCTAAATATGCAATGAAATACAGGGTGTTCCATTTGAGATAACAAAGTTGATACAACTTTCTGGTATAAGCGGCAACGCTGCATTGCACAAAATATTTTAGGCGGATAGAGCATGGGCGTGATTTTCATTCCATTGAAGAAGGTGCGCACTAATAGATGCGGATTTTTGTCGTGACGTCAGCAATTGTTCTGATGGAATCCATGCTGGGACGATGGAACAATGAATTATACAACACATTGATGGAAAAACGGATTTCGTTGTGTCAGTCGTCATGTATCTTCCGAATTAGAAGAGAACGATTTTATTCTTTCACACTTATTACTCCATCTTCTAAAATCTCTCAAGAATCTCGAAATTAGAAAATTCTTCAATATTTTGAATAAATATATCTAAAATGTATCAATGGGCGTGTACACCTTAGTAGAAATTTCAACTCAAACCATGTTTATAATGATCCTTTTATACATAAATAATGATTGACGACATGATTCGATCGAAAAATCAACTGGAATGTTTTATTTTTGAACATAAATAATAGTGTCTTCTGAAAACGGACCCTCTTATGACGTAGAAACCTCATCTCGCCCTGAACCAATGAGCGTGACCCATGTGTGACACTTATCACTGTTGCCATATCATCCAAACAAAATATCCGAGAGATCGAAATCGATATCAAAATATCTTTTGATATCCACTACCACTACTGCAGAAGAATATATTCAAGTTGTCGATTGTAGGTTGAATCATTGGAATATAAACAATCTCTTGACAACGTAATGTCTCAATCTCAAACCATTTGCACCATTACAATTTCACAATAATCCAATACATTTGATAAACGCAGCAACATTGCTTTGTTGACTCGTTTTACATCGAGTCTCGAATTCCGATTCCGAAGTTATTTATTTCGTTTAAAATGAGAAGAGAAGACACGAAATGAAATTAACCTCCAAATCTTGCTTTATATTATATTGATATATAGAATATAAACATGAACGTTGAACCAAGATTTGTAAAAGGCTCTTCAGATAATATCCCAAAAATTGATTTGGAAATGGTTAATGATTTTTATGTCCCTAACATACAGTTTCTCAGTGCTGAAGTGAGGAATAGAAAATCTGAAAGGTTTGTTACACAATATCCATTCAATTTTCATTGCTTGTACCTATTATAGTTGTATTGGAAAATTGTTCACCTGAAAGGATATTTAACATCAGAATACCCATCATAATTATGGAGAATCCTCATTAAATCAGTCACTGATTGATATGTTTACCTATGCAACAATATGATCAATTGGCATGAAACAATGTATGGTTATTCCCTAGACTAGATACTACTTGCATCTCCCTTTGAATGTTCTTCTAAGAGATGGATCATTCATTTTTCAAGCAATTTCCCAATGAATTTCTGCAAAGCAAAACAACTACAATATTGTGTTTACCCAGTGAGGGGGCCAGATTTGTTCCCAAAATTCCCAGCTAAATGATGTTTTTATAATTGCAATTAGGCACAAAACATTTCTTAATCATACTTTTCTCGAAATAGGTATTTCAATTTAATATTCGAAAGTTTCGCGATTTGCAAAAAGTTAATATAGGTTAGAATTGATCCTCTTCTTGTTCTTATTATCTTTGTCCCAAAAATCAACTTGCAGATTCACCAATCTTGGTGCTTTGTCAGAAATCATGTATATCATTCATCTCTGTCTGGAATAGTCTTGTTTCAGTATTAGGGTTTTGACGTCACATCATCGCCTCGTTTTCAGAGGTCCGAAAAATCGGGGATTTCAATAATTTTTTATAAAACGTAGGGAGCTCACAGCAAGAAACGGTTTGCGGTGGTGAGCTAGTTTGGGTGAGTTCTATCGAATTATGAAATAAAATTTTTTTGTGATATAAGCCCATTGTTATGTCAGTCTTCTCCCAACCGCTGGATTCTCGTATAGCGATTTGAAAGTGCGTATTTTATTAACAACAGTCTGATGGATTTCCATCAACATTCCATCGGCATTTTGCAACAGTTCGATGGATTCTTCGATTTATGCGCATGACAAAATCTTGGAATGAAAAACGCACCCCACGCTTGATTATCCAAGCCCACAAATTTTCGAAATGATCTGTCATCCGGTTATCTAGATACTTCTAATGTGCCATCCACTGTCTTTTTTTTGCACATGCAGCAATATCGATGGTCCTTTCAATGCTTTGTAAAGGACGGAAAAGGGAATTGTTTGTAGTAAGGTATAATGGATAAGGATACTCATTCGGGTCGATTCTGTTCGGATCTTGTTATAACATTGCTAAGACCACAATATTGTTATGATAATGAAATATAACAATATTGCTATGCAATTCTGTATTCTGTTTGGACAGTAACTGCCAGATTGGTTATAAGTTCAAGTGATATCAATCAAATTGAGAATTTTTGAGCTGACAACACTGGTTTTAACTCGTTTGTTAAGTGTTAAGTACCGTTATTACCATAATTTCATGAAGAAGAAGAGTTTATGATTATCTAACCTACCAAATCAGTCTGTCCTGCACTCCACTGACATTTTTCAAATTATATTCAAATTGACAGAATGTATGTTTGTATTTGGTTGTCGTTTTGCAAGTGGTGCAATAAGTAATTAATCATGTCCCGAAATTAAAAAACAACCAAAAAACGAATGAAAATGATCGTGAATTTTTTTGGAAATAAACCTGATTCATGTAACCGGAAAAACCCACGTTGCTGACTTATTCCAGCGAAATGACTGTATAAACTTTCGATTAGCCAATTCAAATGGAGTGCTGATGTCTCTGATGATATGCCGGAATTATAGTCTCATAATTCCTCTACAAATGGAAACTTCAAGGAGAGGTTTTCAAGTAGTTAGTTACACAAGAGGACTCATCATATGTTTATGAACCTATTTTCAAAATTGTAGTGAAAAAACAAAGAATCCACTGCCATTTTCAACCTTGTTATGAGATAGCAAGCACAAAATTGATATTGCAGAAATAGCAAGAAATTGTCATTGAAGATGTTATTGAAATTGACAGATCATATTTCCAAAAATCTATGATTGGAATTCCACTGTTTCGAATCTTGCTGTGATAGCAATATCTTCTCTACAACCATATTACTATTTGGAAACAGAATCGACCCGATTAACAGGTGAAGGTTATACATTTCGCCTTTGCCATGTTTTGAATTTAGCTCATCTCGTAAGGTCGAGGACTTTCAGTATAGTAATCACCAATCACCTACAAACAATTACAAAAATCAAAAATCTTGTTCCCCAAAGGGTCTGTCTAGCACATGCCATGATTAAAATGTCACTCCAGTAACGACAACAAACATACGACGAAGTGTGCTGAACTGACTATATAAAGACAATTAATCTTACTCTGCCGAAATGTGTTTCCTGGAAATGTTCCCCGTTTAAAGTCCTGTGTTTGGCCAATTTTTCTTTATTCATGGGCGATCCTGTATCAGCAAAATATTCATAATTACCAAAAGCACAAGCGACACCAAAAAATAGTAGAGAGAAAGAATTAGCTTATAGCAATCATCGAATTTCAAAAAGTTTACAGAGATATTCAACATTTAGTCGAAAATTTTTATAAATGTTGAATATGCTGCAGAGTAACATTCCTTGCCTCCTTGTCCAAGAAGTAACGAATGAAAATAATGAGTTATTTATTATTGCATTATAAAAAGTTACATTTTTCATCTCAACATAGCAACTAATTTTCTCAATTTCAATTAATTATGTGTACTGACTTCTTGGATTATAAGAAGGAATAAAATGAAAATTATATGCAAATGAAGAAAATGTTCTATTATCTAAAATTACCCTGTCCATTTCAAGAACCGAACAACCAAAAGTTACGACACAAAATATTTGAAAACAAATACAGGGTGGTTTGCTAACCAATATAATTCAAATAAGAAAGACAGTGGCAGACTGGGTAGTTGAAAACTAGAGCCTTTGTAGATTGAAGTGCATAAAATCGACTTTGTTTGATGGTTATAAACAAATATTTCTTCTCAAGGTTGAATGACTTCAAATGGAATGTTAGGCTTTCGACAAGTATGTGCTGGTTGAGAGTAGAAAACACACGAAAATCATTGTGTAACAGTATAATATAGGACTTGCATAACTTATTGTGGACCTCCAGTGTTCCGACATATAAATTTCATCATATGAAGTGTCAAACATTGGGATTAACTTTCATAGGAGGGCGCTAAAAATGCAATGAACTTCATTTACTTTCAGATAACTGACTTCTTAATCAATACATTTCAGCGTTTTTCAAAACGAACATTTCCCTGGAAGTTATTGAGTTCGTTTCAATTTGGGTGTCACACACTGTATTTGTTCAGAACGTAAAATAGTTGTTAGTTGAGTGTAATTTTTACTTGCGATCCTCGAACTACAGATTCCTAGTATAATTTGTGCTATTAGTAATCTTTTTTAGTGGTTCCTACGTGAACATTTTGAACTACATATTTTTTATAATTTCAACACATGTGAGTCAATCTTTCATGATTTGAGAAATTCAACAAAAATAATGCCATCATAATCTTAACGAAAGTTCAGTTAGGTTAAATACTGGAGGTTTGAATATATGGAGCATTCCTCCCTAGATTCATTTTTGGGAGAGTGTGAGTATAATCTTAATATTTTTTTTTAATTGACTCGGATTTGATGGAAATGCATGGCAAATGAAAAAACTTCACAAACGATAAGATTTCCACAAAATTCTTAAACACACGACATGTTTCGCTAACACAGTAGCTTCGTCAGGTGATAATACTGGTACAATGAACTAAACCAACGTTGGTATGCTTAACTTTTATAAATCCTACTTTCCCAACTTGAAGGATTAGTTACCTGTGGACAGGTTCGATAAACCTTCATTTTCGTAAATTGGGCACAATATCTACATTAAAATACGGTGTACCGGATTAACTTGAAAGGGTTGATAGCAAATAAATATTATTACATACTGAGAAAACAAATTCAACAGTGGTGAACTATGTTGAATTTGTTTTCTTTCTCCAAGAGAAAAGGAAAAGAAAACAAATTCAACATACGCCAACCATATATTAGAAGAAAACCATAGTTTTGATGATAATTTCCAAATACTAAACATAGAAAAAATAAAGGAATGAAACTCAATCATTGTGAATCATTAGAAATCAACAAACTCAAAAATTTTGGCATTGTACTTAACGATCAATTAGACATCAATAGTTCACCACTGTTGAATTTATTTGCTATCAACCCTTTCAAGTTAATACGGTACACCGTATTTCAAGGTAGATATTGTGCCTAATTTCCGAAAATGCAGGTTTATCGAACTTGTCCACAGGTAACTAATCCTTCAAGTTGGGAAAGTAGGATATATAAAAGTTGAGCAAGCCAACGTTGGTTTAGTTCATTGTACCAGTATATCACCTGACGCAGCTACTGTGTTAGCGAAACATGTCGTGTGTTTAAGAATTTTGTGGAAATCTTATCGTTTGTGAAGTTTTTACATTTAATAATTTTTTTTACGTCAAAAAATGTGTACCTGTTTGATGGGTGAACCTGTACAGTTATCACAATGTTAGTAATAAAGCATATCACATCTACAGAAGCGAGGCGAATCAAGCACAAAAATATCAAACTCACCTATAAAACTGAGCAACACAGGCAAGAAAATCAATCCGTGCGCAGCTCCGTACAAAACGATCCCTAAGTACATCCGGAAGTAGAACACCTGGAATATCTGCGACTTGGCGAAGTACAGCACGATGATGCCTCCGAACTTGGTAAGTGTAATTCCGGAAAATATCGAACTGCCCATGCGCGTGAGGGCGTCCGCCGCCCTATCCACTCTACTGGGCTGTATCGATACGGAGAAACAGTGCACCTGATGGTCAAAACAACATGCACTGCTCAGTTATGATATCAGTAAATGTAGGTGTACCGCAGGGAAGTGTTCTTGCCTTTATATTATTCTCCTTATATGGGTGTTACAACTATATACATGGAAACTAGTAATGGTAATACTATCAATGTTCTGAAACATTTGGCTTATATAATAATGATAATAATAGGTCCTTAGTCGGCGAAAGTTTATTATAAAACCATTTTTGCACTTTAACCTACCAACTAATGAGATGGACACGGATATCAAATGTAGCATTAAACAGTAGAACTTCATTTTGTATTTAAAAGGAAGAAAAAAATTCTTGATAAATGTGAGAGATAGATATACAGGGTGTAACTAAATAAGTGTAAAACATTCGAGGGGGTAATTGCTCATCGAAAAAAGATGGGATCTTTTATATATAGAAACTTCATTGGAGCATCCCATGTTAAGATACAGCCCCATGAAGGGGGTACATAAAATTTGTTAAAAAAATTTTTTCACAAGCACTAAAAAAGTTACAGTATTGAAATTAACCTGACATTTTCTACTACCAAAAAGACACTTAGCCAGTAAGTTATTTGGTTTACCCCATGGTTGTAAGGGGTGAAAACGCAACCCCTAAATTTTATTTCCAATGTACCTTTTTGTCTTATTATTTGTTTACCATTTGAAAATTTATTTCCGATAGCCTGTTTCATTCTTAACAAAAAATGTCCCCTGAATTTTTTGCCCAAAATAAACCAATTGGCAGCAAAAAAAATATTTTACGATCAACTATAGAGATACATCGTCATAAATGCGAACCGGATTTATTGTCATTTTGTAGTTACTACCTGCGTTGAATGATTAAACCATGGGATGAACTGCGACGTCGCTTTTGTGTTAAGAAAAAAAAATATCTTAACCAGAGTAGGTGCTGAAACGGGCACTCGCAAGAGACAAACAGAATAATACTCAAAATAAACCTATAATTATACTCAGCTGTCAGCCGTAGAGATATAGGGGGAGTAAATATTATAAATATAGTTCAATTTATGGGCGCCACTAGCTTAAAGCAGTTTAAACTAGAAAACTCCCTTGATGTTTGAGGGACCCACTCTTTAAAAGTGTTTGGGACTTTCATTTAGAATCGAAAACAAAACAGTTTCATTCAATATAGAAAATGTACTTGGGTGATTATCATATAATATGACAAGTTATGTGATAGCGTGTTATTACAAAAAAAGTTATCTATCCTCTATAGGCTATGCGAAAAACAGGTAGGTATATTCCTGATGTATTATATATAATTATATCTGTTTTATTTTCTTTTGGTGTTCTATGAGTGACCACATTTTTTTTTGTTTAATGATTCACCAAAACAATGAATTTGATTAATAACTCAAAACTACCGGACATGCGCATGTGAGGTTTACACGAGTTTCCAAACGGCCACTTATAAGTGTAAAAAAAAAGAAATAGATTGAAAATATCCCAAGTAAAATTATTCTATAGTTGAATCGAACCTACGAAACTGAAATAATCATCTATGTTTCAAATTCACTAAGTTGCTTAAACTCAAATATAGGAGACACTAACATAATGTCGAAAGCAAATTAGTCATGCTCGGTCAAATATACGGACAAATAGAATTATAATTTCAAAATGATATAATGGGCTTATCTGTGGATCTTGGGGCTCTACCCAAGATGCAAATTTTCCCCCGATGAATCGAATCTTGACAGTCAGCGGCTACTTGGTAGTTTGGATGTTACAAGTGTTACGTCAGGGAAGATTCGGGTAAATCAACAAGGTCCTTGATCAAAATTTTGCCAACTCCCAGTACTTATAAGATGGTATACCTTATAGGTACAGTACTATGCATAAAAGAGGATCAAGGTATTCACTTATTCATGTACAAAAACCCTAAAAATCGAATAGTGAATCAGAATCGATAATGTCATAATGGTGATCCATTAAATATACACTTTCACTCGTACACTCTGTATAAGGAAATTAAAATATAACATACCTCCTCAGTGAAGGTTTTCGTCGTACAACAAGAGAGCAAGCGGTACTGGATTGCTTCGATGTTCAGGAAATGGCGTGGTAGGAATTTCTATCGGCCGAAATCAAATCCTTCCTAAGAAGATAGTGCCCCCCTTTTCCAAATAGTAGCTCAAATCAATTACCACCAAAAAGGGTCACCCGATGGAATGAGTTTTGCAATTTTTATCCCACGGCCACAAATTGGCTGAAAATCACTTCAGAAATCTCGCAGAACTCTTCGTACCAACAGATTCACAATGGACTACCATCACATCCAGAACCACACTCTATTTTCGATATCAATCTCGAAAAATGAAGAAAAACGCATTCTTTCTCACTTACGCTGATAAGAATCCTATTAGCAAAAACAAATTGAAGGAGTCCTTCCTTTAATTGTTGATTTACTTTGAAAAGTGAATGCATACGCCATCTATCTTCCGCAGCCCACACTGAACCACTGAACTCATTGATTACGGTAAGCGTCCTGCCATTAATTGAGTACTCGATAATAGTTGATCCACTATCGGCCAGGTTGTTCCACGCATACCAGATCGACAAATATATCGATATCACTTCGACCAACACAATTTAAAAGAACTATTGTTGTAACGAGGGGATTGATCGTTACAGAACCAAATAAATTTCTGGCTAAGTGTCTTTTTAGTATTGGAACATGTCAGGTCAATTTCAATACTGTAACTTTTTTAGTGCTTGTGAAAAAAATTGTTAAACAAATTTTATGTACCCCCTTCAAGGGGCTGTATCTCAACATGGGATGATCCAATGAAGTTTCTTTATATGAAAGATTCTACCTTTTTTTCGATGAAGAATCACCCCCTTAAATGTTTTACACTTATTTAGTTACACCCTGTATAGAGACATATAGCTTTTTATCATGAGTTAAGGACAGAGGAGATAGATTTACTGAGTTATTTAATTTTTCATCATAAGTTGATCACAAATCATTTGGCTAGATTTTTTTAAAATTTGTCTTGAAGGAGCTTACTTACATTCTCTTCGGATGGTCATCTAAATTATTATAAACATGAGCAGGCAACGGAAGATTCAAATATCTTTGTATAATGTGGAGGAATATAAATATAATACTGGGCACGAATTTTAACATCATGGAGGTGCCCAAGAAAGTGTGTTGCACAAAAATTAGTCATTGAAACTACTTCTCAACAAACCACCACTGAGCACATACCACGAACTTTTCTTTCAAATTACACCCCCCTATGATTGTAGTATGTTTGGCCCTATGATTGTAGTATGTTTGGGTAACTTATTAACTTACAAACAAAATGATGTATCACGCTCTCCATGAATATGCTCGAGATAATATCAAATCAACAACTTAATAGGTTGTCATATGAGAAACTTCGTCCACCATTATCATTAATCTAAAGGCGGAATCTGACGACTGATGTACCAGATATCTGAATAACCAGTTTTGGGGAAAAGTGGATTGGGAATATTGGCCCTATACGATGGCCACACGCTCCCCAGATTTCTCCCCCTCAGATTTTTGTCTGTGGGATAATTTAAAAAAAGAAGTGTGCAAAGGATCTTTTTCTCAGGGTTGATTTACTTATGGGGTTCTAGCCAATTTGGAACGATAACCATCAGTGAGCAAGAAATACTCAGATTGCAACAAATTCACCAGGCCTTTAATGTCACAGAATACCATATACTACTGAGTGGTTCTTTTTATCTAAAACTGAATTAAGACTATTAATAAATCAGGCATAATATATGGGAAATCATTGAACATAGAGAGTAGGGATATAATAAAATGGACTCATTTAAGGACAAAATTATTACAAACTTGTAAGTGAAGAGTTATACAGGGTGTGTGTAGTCGACCAGCTCAGTCGTGAACATTATTTAAAGAGACTCTCAAGGGGGGCCAGACTTGCGGAAGAAAACAAGATTAAATTTGCTAACCGTATAATAGTAAACGAAAAATGGTTAATGTCACGAATATCAACAATGAGTACCAGGTCACACGATTATAATAGTCTAGGAACGCAGAGTACGAAAGATAACGAGGGTTGATTGTTTAAAAATGAAAACAATCGGTACAGCAACAACATCAGCTGCTGAAGTCACGCGACTGCGCGATAGCTCTTCTTGGCAATCGGTAAAGGAAAACAGCTCGCTTCAATTCTTAAATTATACTTCTCACCCCTGATACAATGAATGTATCGTGCTTCTCACCGACTGTCCACAGTTGGTAACTAGTGATGACGACTTGCTCGTCCACAGCGGCACTTTAACCAAGCATTCCAAGCAACTCGTTCACCAAAACCCCCGTCAAAACCCTGGCCCCTGGCAAACTCACAGTCCCAAATTCCCGACCTCTCCTTCAGGCGGCCGTCCCCTATCTCTCTCGAACCTTTCTCAAGCGAATCCTCGCTTCCCTCCCTTCGTACTCTCTTGCGAATAGTCAAATCCGGCGCACCAATCAGGGTATCACACGCGGCGCGGCACAATTCAAATGTAACGGAAAATGATACATTAATGTAATATTTATACTTTGAACAATGATTTAGGGTGGGCGTGCTACATGTGGCACATCATTTTGAAGGGTGTTCTTTTTATCTTTTTAACGGTTCCCTAGTTTATCAATTTCTGATGAGCAGTTTCCGAAAAATGTCGTGTCAATTAGAAAACTTCCCACCCTTAATATCTTCCTTCCAGTGAATTATATGAAAAATCGAAGAAATCGGCCAATTTCATCCCAAGGAGCACACTTTGAATAGTTTTAGCCCTCTTGGTTCAACCCCCCAGGAGGGGTTGATGTTACCCTTAAAACCTTATATTAAAAAGGGGTCAAGATTCACATAATTTCAAAGGACGTTCAATTCTCTATCCAACAGTACTCTAGTTTATCATTTCATGATCAGCAGTTTCCGAAAAACGCCGTTATGAACTCACAGAAGTAATTTGAACATGCCAGTTGATGAAATGCTGAGATGGATTCAAAATCTTCCTACCATTTGGACTGAAAGGAGAGTCAATACAATAATACTTACCTGAAAACTATGCATCACAGTGCAGGCAATTACTTCTGTAAGTTTAGAACGGCATTTTTCGGAAACTGTCCATCAAAAAATGAAGAACTAGGGTATTGTTGAAAAGAGACTTGAACGCCCTTCAGAATAATGTGCATCTTGACCCCCTTTTTATATGAGGTTCTAAGGGTAACAGCTACCCCTTCTAGGAGGTTGAACTAAGAGGGCTAAAAATATGTATTTCAAGTGTTTTCCTTGGGAATTAAATTGACGTGTATTCGATTTTTCATATCATTAACTGAAAGGGAGATATTAAGTGGGTAAGTTTTCTAAGTGACACGGCATTCTTCGAAAACTACTTGACAGAAAATGATAAACTAGAGTACCGTTGGAAATAGAATTGAACGCCCATCGAATCTATGTGCCATTTTTCTAAGGGTAACATCTACCCCTCCTAGGAGGTTGAACCACAGTATACACCCTAACGGAAAACAGTAACTTCACTTAGTGTCGGAACGTTTGATGTTGGTGTCCACAAGTTTTATTTTTTGCCCGACCAGTGCGCATACCACCACGCACAGACTTGCGTGTTACGGGCTTGGTCTAGCCTAAGGTGGCTATAATTGACCAATGACGACTCGCTCGTCATCACTGAGGAATGCTGTGAAGTCACTGAATTTTATGTGAACAGGTCCGGCTTCAAACAAATAAATAGCCAGATAGGCGTAGATTCGCACTCATAGAATCATTGAAATTTTGATCATGAAAAAAACTGATTTTAGTTGTCTTTCTAGAAAATATTCTCGATGTTATTTTCGATTTCACATACAAACAGTTTAAACACAGTATATTTGTGGTTCAACTGACACTAAGTATTATATTATGTCTGACAGTGATTAAAGAATTGTTTAAATATATCCAATGTTTTTATTTGGATAAAGGAATGGAAATATAACCAACCTCAATATTCTTGAATTATTTTTTATTTCACACTGAAGTTCAATATGAGCAATTATAGATATAAAATGCATATTATCCAGAAGTTGACACTATATTCAACTGCATGTTCAACAGAAATGTATGGATATAATGATACAGTGGCATTGGGACGAAATAGCGCAGGACGAAATAGCGCGGACAAAATAGCGCAGGGACATAATAGCGCTGAGACAAAATAGCGCAGAGACAAAATAGCGCAGGGACGAAATAGCGCAGAGACAAAATAGCGCAGGGTCATAATAGCGCAGAGACAAATTTGAGCGCGAAAACTTAGTGCATCATCTATGATTACGTTAATTCGTTTGTCAGGGCATAGACTATTTCTTCAAATACAAGATGTTTCAAAAGGAGACTACCCTTACAAACGAAGTTAATTAATACTAGGTATGCCGTTGGATTGTTAAAGTAGACCTATGATTAGGTTAGTTTGTTTGCTAGGGTATAGACTCATTTTGAAACACCTTGTATTTGAAGAATGAGTCTTTACTCTAACAAACGAACAAACCTAATCATAGATCCTGCACTCCATTTTCGCGCGCAATTTTGTCTCTGCGCTATTTTGTCTCTGTGCTATTATGACCCTGCGCTGTTTCGTCTCTGCGCTATTTCGTCTCTGTGCTATTTCGTCCCTGCGCTATTTTGTCCTGCGCTCTTTTGTCCGCGCTATTTTGTCCTGCGCTATTTCGTCCCAGTGCCTGATACAGTAGGTATATGTTTATACCACACTGTGTTTTATAATGAATAAGTAATGGCAATGGAAACAAACAGATATAGATTTTGCTTACCTTGGCTCATCTTTTGGAAATCTGAAGAAACTCAAACTGCAATCTGTCCTACTATTTTTACTACAGATGAAACAGTAGGCAGCCATTATCTTCCAATGATAAACAGTTTGATGAACAGTAATATCTGGTACTATCACAAGCACTCAAAAGTAAAACGGTTCGCCAGAAGCTGTGACCTCACATATGAAGTTTATGATGCACAATAAATATAACAGCAATCAGGAACATGGGTGGTTCACGAAACAATACCAGGCAAAATAAATAAATCGTGATAGATGTTGGTGGTTCCAATCACAGAATGAATCACAAACAAAGGCATATAAATCAAAGAAGTGTAAACAAAACACCTGCCCTGCTAGCCGAGCCACTGCGCACACTAGCCAGGAGTGGACATGCGCACTGCGATTTTAGGGACACGAAAAGTGCTAAGTGAAATTACTGTTTCCGTTAGGGTGTATACTGTGGTTGAACCAAGAGGGCTAAAACTTATAATTTCAATTGTCCTCCTTGAGAATATAATCGACCTGTTTTTCCGATTTCTCATATTATTCACTGGGAGGAAGATATGGAGGGTGGTAAGTTTTCAAAATTTCACCCTGTAATTTCTCACATAATATACACTATTTTTATAATTGTCAATTTTGAATGTGAATTAGCTATATGTAACCTATAACGTGATTCACTTCAACAGTAGTCTTTAAAAATCAATAAATTTCACTTACCAAGTGAGAGCAGAATTCCACTGATATTCCAACAGCCATGACCAAATTGACCAGCGACACCGCATTCAAGGATATGCTCCACCAGTACATTAGCCCGCACAAGTTCACCACGATCATGGTTATCGTGATAATGACGACCAGACTCGAGAAGAGGTCGAGTCCCATAAGCAGAAAAGTCACGAGGAAAATGGCCAGCAAGCTCACCCCCAGACTGAACAAAGTGTCAGGCCACATGGTTAAGTACTGCTCGTAAAAAACGTAAAAGACGGAATAGGGAAATACTTCTACACCAACGGTGTTTGTCAAGTTGGCCGAAATTTTTCTAGCTGCTCGCATGCTTTCGTAATAGTCCTCGGAAGACTTCAGTATAGTGTGGTAGGCCATGAAATAGGACGCGCCCACTTCGGAAAGTTGGGTGGTCGCGTCGAGTTTGTAGTTGACTCCTTGGCCGTATGCCGCGTGACCTGCCTTGGGGCATACGTCGTCTGGATTGTCGCGGAGGAAGAAGGAGACGTAGCGATCGAATTCTTCTGTTACAGGTCGGTGGTTGTCTGGACGGAAGGTGATGTTGCAAGGGAGACAACCTGGAAGAATGATCATTATTAGAATAATTGAAGATAGAAAATATAAAGTAGTTACTCATTTGTTTACGAAAAGGAATACAAACCGAACTAGCCTGAAAACAATATTCACAGATGGGTGATATCTCAAAATACAGATACTAAACAAACCGAATAACAATTCCAAAGTTGATGAAATAGTTATTTATTATACAAGAGAAAAAATTAGTAGATTTTAGCTCCAAAAAACCGTGAGCTAAAATCTAATATTTTTTCCGTGTATAATACACTATTTTGTTCTGTGACAGAAGGAAGGACGAATCAATATTGAGAAGATATGACATTATTTTGAAATCTGAAAATTATGGACGGGAAATTTAAAGTTTTTAACAGTACGGACACCTGCGTTGTAGGCATCTTTATAATTCTTTTGAAGTAATCAAATATCTGATGTCACTTCTGTCAGTCTAATTCTGTGATTTGATTTCAAAAAATTGCGAATTTAGTGGTTGTTTAGTAATTTACGTAACTGCGAAGTCGAATGGAAGATAAAAGGACTTGCAGTTCTTTCTAGGAGACGGTACTATTGACTCATTTTTCGGAACTATAGCACAACAAAAGCCATCAACAGTGTATGTATATATGTGATATATATCCGGGAAGAAAGTACTCACTTTTTTCTCACGGGAAAAAAGTAATTTATGACAAGTGACATGTTATAACCTGCCAACAGAGATGAAATGCCAAATTTTTTTCCCGTCACAGAAAAAAATCAATAATTGAGTAGGTACAACATGTAGTGATTGTAATGTGTGGATGGATATGAACAAAGGTGACATAATTTTATTCAATACATATCAAAATATTTTGAGTTTGTTTTCATAACGAAAGATGTGATGATTCCTAGTAATATAAGTAGGTGCTGTGAGATAAATATTACTGAGGATAGCAGGCGAATCAACTGAATAATTTATGACTTTATAGAGGAATTTCACGTCTGAACTATTGCTTTATGCACTAGTGATAATAAGTTCCGCTCATTTTGAACATAGGTGCGGTTGCTGAGGTTGACTGGAAATAGTAGATTGTTTTATTAGGATCAAAAGTGACACTTTGTTTGACAAGCGAATTTTGCATTTGCGAGGCGGAGCGTTTAGCGAAGCCGAGCGAAAGCAAAATTTGCGAGTCGAAAAAAGTCACTTTTGATCCGAATGAAACATGCTATTTTTTCTGCAACCGAAACAATTAACTCAAATAAATATGTGAAGTTACCACCAATGCCCGTGCCAGATGTATGCAATGCAACAAATATTGACAAATAATCCGTGTAGTGAGAACATTCTACCTGCATCAACAGCAGGTTCATTCAATTTTCAAGGATGTTCGAATTGTAGTTTCAATATAAGAACAATCACAGAGTGACATATTTGTGTATGGACCAGGTGCTCTAATAGCAAATACCGCGCCAGTGCCAGCTATATATAGGAACAAGACGTGGAAAATGTTAGGTTAATGAGCATATCAACAATGATAATGGCGATTATTTACTCCTCTCTATAATACAATGTTTTTCGCTTTATAATCAAATGAAGCTAAACAATATCGTTGTTTGAGACAAAAAACTATTGCTTGCCGTGATTATTCAAAAACAAGTAATCCATCCCGAGAATAACGAATGAAATACAGATCAAGGAAGTATTTGAATCTTGAAGGCTTCCCTGATCAAACAAAAATACTTAGCTGAGATGTTTATAATTTCAATACTAAACTATAACAAGGTGTATTTATATCTCCAGCATGGGTATGAAATTCCAAATCTGCTGAAATCGGAAACAAATCAGGTATGCGTCTCAACCCAAATAACCAACCGTCACAATGTTGTTCATTCTTGATGACGTCCAGTACTTCCTTTTTAGTTCCTAGGAGCTAAAGTTCAACTTTAGCTCCTAGGAACTAAAATTCAACTTTAGCTCCTAGGAACTAAATATGTTGCCTAGCAACCTACCTATTTTTGTGTCAGTAATAGAAACGTCAATTCAAGAGCTAATTTTGGTATCAAAATGGACGACTTTTGTGTCGGTCGCAGAAAAACATTTTTTATTCACATAATCTATGAATATATTCTGAATCCGTTAAAGTTTAGGTGGGTGGGTCAATAGTGTGTTCACCTGCGCTATCAGCCAAACCGTCAGATATATAAAAAAATTGAATACAATAGTTATAAGGTTACATGAGAACTATCACCTGAGATTATTTTCTTATCTATAGGGTATTCGAATTCCAAGATATCGGCTGATGATAGGTTTTTAAATGGGACTCCCTATACAATATTGCATTTTTAGGTTCTCCCTGAAGAGCTGATTTCATCAATGTATCACTTGGGGTCTAACAGGAATGATTTTTCAACTCAAGGATTTTTTTGTGTCAAAACTATTCATTATTGGTCAAAACAGGTTACATGCCTCTATCTCAACTTTAGATTTACTAGCTAATGACGTTTAATTGGAACAAATACAGGGTGGTCAAGATTCAAGAATTCTGATCAACATGTTTCTGTCCCAATTAAATGTCAGTATATAGTAAATCAAAAGTTAAGATAGGGACATGCGAGCCGTTTTGACCAATAATGAATAGTTTCAACACAAATCCTAAAGATGAAAAATCTCGATTTTGAACACCCTACAACTCTGTAATCATTCCCGCAAGACCCAAACATGATAAATTGATGGAATCAGCTCTTCAGGAAGAACCTTAGAATGAAATAATATACAGGGTGTTCCATTAAAAAAAACATCATCAGCCGATATCTTGGAATTTGAACACCCTATAGATATGAAAATAATTTTGAACAACTTGAGCACAATTCAGCACTTAGGAAGGAAACACTTGCGATTTTATCCGTCTATACGAATTATTGAATAGATTCCGGGAGGGTGTAATTCAATGTTCTGCGTGGCAAATAGCCAGGAAAGTATTGTTTTTCTCTCATCAACCATTTTCGTTTATTTATGCACATTTGTGGAAATGACTTTGAGCTTTGAGTATTTATTCAACATTTCATTCCACTTTAGTTGCGATTCTTCATTTGTTTGTATATTTTACAATTCATCACTCTCAAGATTCAACTGATTTCAACAATTTTATGGATGAACTGAGCAAGACAGTTTAAAATTCACTTGTTATTTCTTATACACTTATGGAGGTGAAACCTATACATTGATGACATTTATTAGATGAATATAAAATTATCTCTCAACATTTCACCGTTTGGTCGATTCGGAAATTGACAAATATTTACTTTATATTTCCTCAAAATAGTAACAGCTGGCAACGCAGGAGAAGGGACTATCACGTCAGGATGAACAGTTAGCCGCAGAACGCTGTTTGAACATTCCATAAAATTGTAGGGTATTCAAATTGTATTTTTTGAAGTATTACAGCATATGTTATCAAAAAATGTATGCACTCATGTTATGTAACTACTATTTTTCAATTATATGCACATTTAAATTGAATTCACGCATTGTGTTTTTGCCTATTACCCGGAAAATAAACATTACTAAAACAAACACAGTCAAGGGTACAAAGTATCGAAGTCAAGATTCCTATATTATGAAACCAAATTTCACTTACCGGATTTGTCATGAGGACAAAACCCATGGTTATCCTTGCGAAATTTGCAGCAATTAGGAGTATCAGCCCAGTCGAAGTAATCATCCAACCAGCTGGTACTAGGTCTGGAAATATAAGTCGTCTCAGGAATCTTACTGGCCCCATATATCTGCGTAACCAAAGAATCCACATTGCAATAGGTCCCAGAACAAATCAGATTCTGCGCCTCAGGCTGACTATAGTTCAATCCACTCTTCACCACAAAGTACATCGGAGGTCCGATACTCAGATAATCTTTGAGGAATCTGAAGTATTTCAACACGAAACTGTCTTCGGGCATTGACAGTTCTTGATCGAGGCCTATTTCCACGTGAGGCACTATGGCGATCGATGAACAAAGCCATCCGAAGAAAATTATCATCACGGCACATCTCACGGATTTGTTCATGAGCACAGGAACGTAAATGGATTTGAAAAAGGTGTAGAGTATGCCTTCTTGTCCGGCTGGAGTTGGTTCATTCTTCTTTGAGCCTCTGATGAAGCAGAAGATATCGAATCTGAAAAAAGTTATTTATTATTAAACACAGTATGCATGATCAACGATCTTGGTTACATTATTTTGTAAGGTCAATCTTCAACTAAACCAGTATTTGATATAACGATCATGTAATGATAGCTATCAATACTAATGATAATAATAATAATAATAATAAAAATAATAATAATAATAGAGGCTTCATTTTCAATATCCTCGGCGAAGTCCAGCAAAGCTGTTCTACTTAACCAAGTACCATATTACAACATTGAATTAAGTAACTACCTACATAGTAGCTTAAATATAAACTAATTTATCTAATAAATATAAGTATCACATTATTATAATCATAGATGAAGGAACCCATTATTATATATTCTAAAAAAAGTTTATTTAGCAAAAAAAAAACAATTTTGTGGACTTTTTGAAGAGAAACATTGATTTATTCTTGAACTCTTGTGGGACAGAATTGAATATTTTAAATGTTTTATAGGAGAAACATCTCGCTCTCATATAGAGCTGTTCTATGCCTTGTCACGGAAAGACCTGTATTTCAAGTGAAACGAATATGAACTTCCGTAGTGTATGTTAATTGATGTTGAATATGCAATTTACGCCTATTGAACATATTTAGCCATCTCAACTCGCTAAGTTTATTGGAAATGTAGTCTCTGGTTCTGAGTGAGTAAATTAATCTGATACAGGAATTCTGAATTCTTCTAATTCTCGCTGACGAAACTGCATCCAAGCATGGATCATATACCAAATCAGCATAATTAGTATGACTCAATACTAGTGGTACACATAATTAGTTTTTCAAGGTTACATTGATGAAAGACCTACTGCGATATAGATTATTCAACGAAGAGTAACACTTACTAACAATAGATTTGACCTGTGCCTTGAATCTCAGCCTACTATCAAAATCAATTCCTAGACTTGGAATTTCAATTTTTAAATCAGATTTCACTTCTACTGATACATCACCAAAACATATAGCATGGGTCTTCTTTGGGTTAATCTTCAGTCAATGCTTATAAGAGTGTTTTCCAAAGTTAGATTTATATCTAAACACGTAGTATTCAACTCATCAGTAAGAAAACTTTTATAAACTTGGGTGTCATCAGCAAACTGATCAATTGTAGAATTTACAGAATTCCTATTAAGATCCATGGTATATATTAAAAATTGAATAGGTCCGAGTATTGAGCACTGCGGTACACCTTTATAAACTAATCTAGAGCTAGCCTGCGCATTGTCAATTAACATATATTGGTTTGTATGAGAAATGTAATAGTTTGACAATACTATCAGAACAGAAAAGTCATAATAGTTAATTTTAGCCAAAAGGAGTTCCTTGCCTAAAGTGTCAAACGCCTTACTGTAGTCTAATGAAATTAGTGTTATAATTTTTCCCTCATCTATTGCCCATATGATATCATCCAACATTTTGGTCAATGCAGTACTTGCATGGCCGGTCCAAGTAAATCAAGGAAGGAGTGGCTGCTTGGCAGAGACCGCCAAGTACTCCGCCTCCTCATAGGAGTACTCACAGGACACAACAGGCTAGGCAGACACCTATCACTTATGGGAATAGAGGACAACCCCACTTGCCGCGGATGCGGGGAAGACGAGGAAACGTCACTCCATTTCCTCGGCGAGTGCGAGACGTACGGATGTCTGAGATTTGAAATCTTTGGAGTAGACAAACTCCAACAGGAGGACTTGATTATATTAGAGTGGACGGACATACTGGCCTTCATCAGAAAGTCAGGGATATTCGTAAAGGAAATCTAGGTGAAGGAAGCGTAGATATGTGGAGAGCAGGGGTTAGCAAAAAGGGCCCATCGGAGCCTACTACTACTACTATTACTACTTGGTCAATGCAGAAACTGTCATGTGAGCACTCCTAAAACCCAATTGGATTTCTGGAAATAACTTATTGTCCGTTAAAAACTGTACCATTTACAAATATGTCAATTGGCCTCAATTCAGAAATATAGCTATATATATATATATATATATATAGGAAAATAGCTCTCAGTCAAACAACAATTATAGATATGTGTTGAGTAAGGCAATATGCTTGGTTAATACAGTTTCAACATATTTAGAGTTATTCTATCTGAGCCAGCTGAGTTTGACTTGATATTAGTTATTGCAATCATTACATCATTCTCCGAGACAACTTGCAATTTGCTTTGGATTGCATCTAAAAATTTCGCATTATTATAACTATCAACCAAAACAGGAGCACGAGGTAGCTCACGATACGAGCCAATGGCGAGTGTCATAAACCGTGTGCGAGTGTATTAATAGCCATTATATGCTCGTTGCATCCACATTTTTTTCTACGACCAATAAATAAACAAATTCAGTTCATAGTATTTATATTACATCTTCTGTCCATGAATTGTCTGCAGGTTTGACGCGTTGTTATTGAATGTCAATTGGAATTAAATGTCAAACAACTCAAGCAAGTGAGGTAGGAACATAGACCTAAGTACGTGTTTCTATTGGCCGAAAATTCGTTCCATAATAAAAAGTATGGACTTTCAATTAGTTCCATAATCGGCTACTTTGACGCTGCTATCTTAAATTCAGTCGCCTATTCCCACCATTCGCGATTTCATTTATTTATCCGTGTTTGGCGTTTAGTATTGTTGGCGTATACTTTTCAATGATTCAAGAATTAATCGCGCCGTCTAATAGTCCGAGGTTCCACATACCTGTTCCCAGCTTGACGAATCGTATCCAACGACAACAGGCTCACAAAGCACGTGATCTGCAACAGGAAGTCGAACAGCAGCGCCATCCCGGCGTACAGCGCGAACGCCCGCACCGCCGGCATGTCCGACAAGCTGCCCAAGAAGAAGCAGCAGCTCTCCGAGGCGCTGGTCAGCAACATGGAGGGCCCCACCTGGCCCAGCGTCCTGCCGATGTGCTGCGCATGCGTCTCGTTCGGTTTGCGCGTGTCCCGCTGGTGGGTCTGCACGAGGATGAAGATGTTGTCGACGCCGACGGCGAGGACGAGGAAGGGGATGACCTCGATAATGATAAGAGTGGCCGGGATGCCGATGAATGCGAACATGCCGACCGAGGAGATGACCGAAGCCAATACTATTATGACACCTTGAAATGGAAGGATGGTATATTATTCAACGAGCGAGTACGTCAATTGATGGTCATATTAGGTAAGAAGAATGGACAGAAAATTTGTAATGTGTCAAAATGAAATCGACTTGAAGAGCTATAGTCAAGAATATATTGAATTCGCATGCGTATACGAGTAATTAGACTAGTGGGATTTCGCTCCATACATTTTGACCCCTGTAAAAAGTGTGAGATAGTAATGTAGGATACTAGAACTCCCTATCAGCTTAACTTTTATTTCGGACTTGTTATGTTGCTAAATAAGGATATAATATTATTATTATAATAAACCTTTGAGTTGAAATGGAATAAAATATACATAGAAGTACTCAACAATATTTGTTATAAATGGCGCAGTCGGCAGCCGGAAATATTATAAGCGCTGATTTTAAGAGTTACCAAACTGAGAGAAATATTCCAAATATCAGTACTAGGAACCCTGAACGTGGAAATGGCATTGTATACATCAATGATAACCATATCAGAATAGATAAAAAAGATTTGAATATAATAATGGAGAAATGGCTCAATATGACTACGACCGGTAGGATCAAATGATGATAACTCCCATCACTGGCATAAGGCCAAACTCATGGATTAATTCATATGCATTTGCGGCAAGATCTATAAAATGGCAGTCAAATGCGAAAAAAAAAACAATTTGAGATCGCAAAATGGTGAAAAGATGGATTCAAAACGGATTTGAACAATATGGATTGACAAGAGTAGAAAAATAGTTTCATATCAAATTTTGATTAAGAAACTATATCTGAATTGGAAAAAACACTGAATTTAAATTCAAATATGGATCAATCTTTGAATATTATTTTTGAGAGGCAAAGACTATTGTCTTGGGCTGATTAGAAAATAGCATATTGGCTTTAATAGTTCTTGGATTGCCATATCATAACCAAAGACAAATTTCGAATAAGGACATAAATTCCTTCATGTTAATTAATAATGAGTTGACAGTTGAGATCAAAAATACCTATTATTATTAATGATTTATTGCAACCTACGACAACTCCTATACATGCATACAAAGAAAAAGAATAGCAAAACAAAAATTGAATGTCAAAACATTATAACAAGGATGTTAAAATTGTGAATGATCTTAGTCCAAATGATTCGGTTTTATTCAAGAAATATCCAAAACCAAATAATAGTCTAAGCCTATAGTTCTTGAAAGAGTGGATAATGTTCCTAGATCATATTTACTCAAATTTGAAGGATGAATACATGAGAAATAGAAAATGCATTACCTTAGATGAAAGTAATATTTATGAAACATCCCTATTTTTTCAAATACAAATTCTATTCAATCATCTGATGATGTACCGTCAATTTCTTCAGGTATGGCAAGTAGGGTATCTGAGTTCGAAATTGTTAATAAATCCAAGTATGGTCGAGTTTACAAACAGGTGAGAAAATAGTTTTTTTATGTCACGGAAAAACAATTTTGACACTTTATCTCTGTATCTCTGTACAGGTATCAGAACGTCACTTTTCATGAAATTATTTTTTTGACTGGAAAAAAGTTTGACATTTTATCTGTGTTGAAAGGTAACAATATGTAACTTTTAATAAGTATGAGTAATTTTTTCCCGGATATACAGTGCACCCAAGATAAGGATGAACAGCATCGGGATCTCGGTAACTGGAAGAGTAACACAGTAGTTAGTAGTTACACAATCATATGGGCAAAAGTTGCGTAATTGAAGGATCAATAAATAGAGAATTCACAAACATGTTGTCTACTTCCGGAGATGTTCTAGAAAAACCGAAATTTGCAATTTGGTTTTTATGTTTTTCTAATCTGAAGTTTCGAAAAAACTGGGATCACAAAATATCCGTACAACGTTTCGTTACGAAGAAAGGGTTACTGAGATCCACATGCTCTTCATCCTTATCTTGGGCACACTATACAGTGCTCACCATATGTACCACGGATAAATTCATTTTCTTAAACCCAGAAACACGTCGATTTATGTTTATGAAAAGACACCCTGTGACATAAAAAATCCCTCCTTCTTCACCCCCCTCAACGTGACAACCATCCCCCAATTCTTTTAAATTAATTAGAGGGTTGAGTGATACCACATTCAACGTATGAATGAGATTCAAAAAAGTTTATATGGCAGTATAGACAATTGAATACACTTCAAAATGAGGTATCACTAATCCCTTATTTCATTTTGAAAAATTGAGGAGGTGGTTGTCACGTTGAAGGGGGTGAAGGAGGGGGATTTTTTTCATGTCACAGTGTCTTTTCAAAAACATGAATAGACGTGTTTCGGGGTTTTTCTTGAAAATGTCTAATAATGTTAAAAAGAAATTATCCGTTACATATGGTGAGCTCTGTATATTCACTGTTGATGGACCACACAACCTCGAACTAAAATTTAATACTTTTTTCCTTTTATAATAAATATCCATTATTTATTGTATCTATAACCGGTTTTCTGATATATAAATACAGTACTTTGTATAATGACCTAATCATAGGTGACAGATGGACATTGAAGTGACAGAATTCTGAAAATTAGTTAGCTGGAAAAATGTTGATTTTCAATTTTATATCAAATAAATAAGATTGACAACCAATTGAAGAGTATTTTTCTGAATCTTATTTCTATACAAACATGCATTTAATAGAAGGAGACCTCAAACCCCGGAGCCGTTGGAAAACAGAATAAGTTTGAAGTTTGTGTTTGAAAGAAGGGATGAGTTGGTGAATTTGTGGTAACAGCAATATTTTTTCACTTGAAGAATTTGATTATTTTCAAATAATGTCTGCAACAGAACCATGTGATCGTAGCATATGACAATTTTTACTTTCCTCCGATAATTTGTTTTTATGGGATTTCACCTTGGGCTGAGCAAAGTCCCAATAGCATATAATCACCCATATGTCAAATGAAGGAATACTTTACTACACATATCATCATCATCATAGAGGTTGCAATAACTTACCTCCGAGCCCGAGTGTCACCTTGCTGTCAATCAGCAACCTCGAACAGCTATTCACCTGCCCCAACGAAACAGCGATGTACACGAACATAATCAAGTACGATATCAAAATGGTGAGCACGTCGCTTTGGCTCTCACGATCCAATTCATCCATGATGGACCTCTCAGAAGTGAACGCCAAGTCCATGAAGTAGGGCTTCTCATGTTCAGTATAATTCTTCATGAACGCTATGTACTCTTTCTCCCATTCCATGGCGGGAGATAACAGCGATTTGTTGTGGTAGTTGTTCACGATGAAGGTCAGAATGACGGCGGTGGCGTTTTTGTAGTCGGGATCTTTCGCCAGAGACTCGCCGGGTTGGAGGAATCCTCCGAGCGCGACGGCCGGGTCGACGGGACCGCCAAATGGGGCGAGGCAGTCCAATGGGTCATATGGGTTGCTGGAAGGAGGTTTTTGGGTGAATAACCGTGAAACTACTAGGGCGTAGCGTCAATTTTAGTCATATGTCATTTACCCCAAGTGATACTATTTTGCCAGAAATATTCGGCGATTGTTACGACAGCTTGTTTCCTAATAATTTCGCGAATGACATTGTTTATCAAAACTTTCGTGCCGTATGCGAGAAGTTTTGAATAAATATCAGGAGCGAAATTAAAGCATCAAGCTGGAGTATGCCAATCGACGGATATTTCCAGGAAAAATAGTATCATTTTTGGGATTCGTATGGATATTTCATGATTGAGACAATAAACGAGCGGCTTGCGAGTGTTGTCCACACTGCATCCATCATTATGGCTTCCAACATAATTGAGGTTATGAAAGTCAAAAATTTTATCTCTGAAAAACGAGGTTGGTTGGTCACGTCTGATGAATTTAATATAATAATATAAAATATCGCTGGAATACAGGAGAATCCGTGAAAATGATCGATTCTGATTGGAGAAGAAGAGTGGAATAGTCATTCAAAAATGTTATCACTATAGTCCACTGAAATTAGGATTTTGATATGGAATAGTTCATACAAAAGGTTTTAGTGCTTTTTCGGGTATATATTGGTGTCCTTAATAGCTCCTCAAAAGACCTATATGTGTAGACTTGGTGTCCAATCCTGAAATAATCCGTCCAATCCGAGATCCAATCTTAGGCCAATATTCCTATTCTCGCAATGCAAATGCCCAATCTCGTATTTATAATATTTGATAATATCTCGTGCAAACTTATTGTTTTAACTGAGTTTTATCCATTTCGCCAAGAAGATCAAATAATGTACAAGAAATGCGTCTATTATATTAAGTAGGTGTGCTGGAGTAAATATTTAGTGCGATGTACTGACGTCCAGTGTATCTCAGTATATCGAAGATGTTTGAAGATGACATATTACAGTGGGCGGGTTATATGCTAATACAGTATATTATTTAGTAAAATCGTGTCCGGTATATCATTTATTAAACTCTAGCTGGTGACAAACAAATTCCTAACCTATCAGAAAACTACATCTTCACCTCTGTAAAAACCTCACGGTTCTTGAAATATTGGAATTTTAATGCTCATTCCTTCATGTTCCAAGCAAATAAGGAGCGTTTCATGTTGATTCTATTTTCGATATATATTATTGAATCATAGTTGACAAAATAACAGCAGGCAGTATTTTGGTAGCATAGCAGTCATTTACGGTCTACAAAAAAAATATCCTCCGATTTGGATCCTTCATGAAATGACTGCTATATCTTTGTAACGAAGGGAACGATATTTATGAAACTTTGCAGACAAGTGCAAAGGCGGTTTAACCGGAAATACACTCAACTTTTTAAATTTCAAAGGGACACCCTGTATTTTTTTTACAAATTTTGATGAATCTTGATATTTCGAATTCGTACATACTGGGTTTACTGGGAATAATCTGTAAGGTTTGTGAGGTTATGAACTTGTTTATCACCAGCCAGAATATGGTCCATGGTTTACCGGACATATTTGGAGATTTTAGTGTGAACGTGTTGGAGTAATAACATGAAAGACGAATATTTTCAGGAAGAAAAGTTTCATGAGTTGTTTTCATATGACTATTTTATAATTAGATAAGACAGTAAATAATTATGCTGAACTCTGAATTTGCAAAATTGATAATTCATTATAATAGGCTACTGGACTAATAATTATGGAATTTTTCACATTCAACAATCTCACTATGTTATTACAGACCTGACACTATTGGTAATCATCTGTATATCACATTATCGAGGGCTAGCATTCCAGAAATTCATTATTGAAAAAATATATATTTGTGATGGCTTTAAATAATGAATGACTAAAAAATACTAATAAAAGACGGTACGATCAATAGAAAATACATACAGGGTGATTTACGTGGTACCACGCATTAGAAGTTTTCCAACTTGCAGTTGAATTAAACCTTCAAAATTGATATGCTGTTATTATCGATAATTTCCAATCTACCTGAAATATGTTTAGTCTTCTAGTTAAACGGGGTTGCCAAAAGTCTACACCACCCTTGAATTTCCAAATCCCGCCCTTTCCAAATTTTGACAAAAGAATCATAATCTTCGACTCCGAAAACACTCAGATAACAATTTTGAAGAGAGTCGGATCATAATTACAAAATTCGTCCGCCATATTGGGTCCGCCATCTTGAATTTCCTAATTTTGACGAAAGAATCATAATCTCTGACCCCGAGATACCAAATTTGAATAAAATCGGATCCTAATTACAAAATCCGCCATTTTGGATCCGCCATCATGAATTTCTTGATTTAGGCGAAGGAATCATAATCCCTGACCACGAAAACCCCTAGGTACCAATTTTGAAAAGAATCGGATTATAATTACAAAACTCGTCCGCCATATTGGTTGGCCAAATTTTCAAATTCTGACGAAAGAATCATAATCTCCGACCCCGAAAACCCCCAGATACCAATTTTGAATAGAATCGGACCATAATTACAAAACTCGTCCGATATATTAGATTCGCCATCTTGAATTTCCTAATGGTACCAGGATAAAAAGTATCCTATAACCTTCTCCTGGTTCTAAACTACCTCCCCACCAATTTTCAGCCAAATCGATCCAGTAGTTTCGGAGCCTAAGAAAGAAAGAAAGAAAGAAAGAAAGAAAGAAAGAAAGAAAGAAAGAAAGAAAGAAAGAAAGAAAGAAAGAAAGAAAGAAAGAAAGAAAGAAAGAAAGAAAGAAAGAAAGAAAGAAAGAGAAAGAAAGAAAGAAAGAAAGAAAGAAAGAAAGAAAGAAAGAAAGAAAGCAAGGAAGGAAGAAAGAAAGAAAGAAAGAAAGAAAGAAAGAAAGAAAGAAAGAAAGAAAGAAAGAGAAAGAAAGAAAGAAAGAAAGAAAGAAAGAAAGAAAGAAAGAAAGAAAGAAAGAAAGAAAGAAAGAAAGAAAGAAAGAAAGCAAGGAAGGAAGAAGAAAGAAAGAAAAGAAAGAAAGAAAGAAAGAAGAGAAAGAAAGAAAGAAAAGGAAAGAAAGGAAAGAAAGAAAAGAAAGGAAAGAAAGGAAAGAAAGGAAAGAAAGGAAAGAAAGGAAAGAAAGGAAAGAAAGGAAAGAAAGGAAAGAAAGGAAAGAAAGGAAAGAAAGGAAAGAAAGGAAAGAAAGGAAAGAAAGGAAAGAAAGAAAGAAAAGAAGAAAGAAAGAAAGAAAGAAAGAAAGAAAAGAAACAAACAAATTAAAGTAATTATTAAAGAACTACTTCTTCATACAGTATTTTCGATATAAGTTACCATAATTGATAGCTAATACAAGCTAACATATTCCCTGTATGCCTCTATGCCGAATTTGATAACAATTGATAGTGAAATTATTAGCAGAAAACGAAAAAAAAATCCCCGCCCCGTATCCTTTTCAGCAATATTTTATATAGGCGATATTTGGTCCTAATCGCCATATTTTGGTCCAATCCGCCTCAGCCTACGTCCCAATAGTTATGACTCACCCTGTATATCGACAAGGTAATTAAGCAATACTGCAGTGCACGTTGGTTTCCAAAATAGGTGAGGTAATTACCAACTCATAAATGTTACAATTTGGCTATTAATGTATAATAACTCAAAATGAATGGTACTTTAATCCCTCAGGAAACTGTTAGCGTTTTTGTTGGTAGTCTTCAACTCTCAAACAGGTAATATGGAACAGACTCACCGAAATTGGTGGTGATAGGCGATATGTTCATCGATGGTGTCTAGTTATCGAGTACCGGTGCAGACGGCTACGTCGACATACAGGATGGTCTGGTAGATCTGTCCTACGGGTCCTTAGCCACAAAACAATCTATACATAGGAGTGAGTCATAATGTTTGTCCGGTTACTCGACCGAAAAGATACATAATATAATGATGAAGATGATGGAAAGCTCTAATTTTGAGTGAAAGCGAAAAAATGAAAAAACTCCATCGCCCCGCGTGAGAGTCGGCGTGAGAGTCGAACTCACAACCTCTAGGTTACATGCCCAACGCTCTGCTGATTGAGCTAACGGGACATCAGTCGATCAATCGGCAAGAAGGTCGAGTTCTCATCACGACACCGCTCGAAACTAGGGCTTTCCATCATCCTCATTATTATATCATGTATCTGTTTCGGTCGAGTAACCGACTAACATTATGACTCACTAATATGTATAGATTGCTTACGGACATTTCCGTACACAAGGAGAGACAATGCCAGGGAACGAACAGGGAAACATGGAGACTGTATAATACCATCCTGTCAGCGATGCTTCATATAGTGCATGATTTCGAGTGACTTCGGGAATTGGAGGGATTCTGCCGCCTGGAGTGTGATGAGAACTCGACCCGTTAGCTCAATTGGCAGAGTATTGGGCATGTAACCCAGAGGTTGTGAGTTAGACTCTCACGCGGGGTAATGGAGTTTTCTCATTTTCCGTTGTCACTCGAAACTAGGGCTTTCCATCATCTTCATTATTATACAAAAAATCTGACAAAACTGGGCGAGAGGAGAAGTCCCAGGAAACAAGAAGAAAGACTTCTAGCAGCCTCCGCATGCAGCACCAGTGTAGTCAAACAGGAGGTCGGCTCCAGAGCAGCCAGTTAATACCCAGAGGGAAGAAAATAATATCGTGAAGAAATCCGGAAACATAAGAACCCTAAACGACGAAAAGAAAAATTGTTTTGTGTCACTCGATAATTGATCAATAAAATTTCATGCCTGTGATGGTGTTCAAGTTATTTGATCAGCTTAGTGGCTTTCAGCCTCAAATCCTTCTTACTTGAGGTATGTTACCAAATCCAAAATTGGTCAACATAGAATGTGAATTCGATTCGAATTAATCCCAACACTAATGGAGGAAGAAAAAAAATCTAAATATGTACAATGCGAAATCGAATCTCTAGCTTACTTGTCACACGAGTTGGATAGCACTTTTCCCAGAAAAATGGGGAGATATCTTGTGAAGATGGGCAGTCCTTCAACCGGAGGATCGGTACTTTTCTCAAAAACGCCCCATCGATCACCAGATATTGATTGGTGCGAGATATTTCCGCGAATACACTGTAGATGGTATTTCACCATCACAGAAGAATGAAAAATATTCCCGTTTCGAAGAAAAATACTGAACATAGTCGATGTTTGTGAAATATTAACAAATTTTCATTTAGTTTTCGTGGAAATTGATTTACAGAGCCGTTTTAAAGCCGTTTTGACTCAACAACAAATATTCAAACAGGGACATGCGCAGACATGACCTCGGAACTACGTCGGCTCGTGACGCAATCCTCTTCTTTTTTGATGGATGAACGACTTCATCGAACGAGACATAAACAATAGGGTTATCACACTCACTATTCGATTTAAACAACAGATCACTATTTTTGAGTTCCAGATTTCTTGCTGGGCTTGGTCATTCCCCTGTTATAATGATGGAAATAAGTAGATGGTGCGCGTACTCGGCCATTATTACGTATTGAAAACTTAAAAAAAATCACTCGACCCCTTAATATGATTACCCTACGTTACGTCGAGCGAGACGATAAATCTTCGTTTTTCCGCTACATGGTGATAATGTAATTGCTGCTGTGCTGAGTGAGAATAATATGACAAGTTTCATTTCAGGTTCGCGAAACATATGTAAAAGTGGGTTTATTTTTCTGAATTGACGGATGTCATAATTATGCGATTTCGCCATCTATTAAAAGATCCAAAATGTTAAAAAAAAATTCAATCACACAACAATTTGGTACAATTTCATTGTACCAGTATTTCACCTGATGAAGCTACTGTGTTAGCGAAACATGTCGTGTGATTAAGAATTTTGTAGAAATCTCATCGTTTGTGAAGTTTTCACATTTGCTATGGATTTCCATCAAGTAACGGCCGAGTCAATTCAAAATATTAGAAGATCGCCGAAACCATTGTTCTCGAGAGGTCGAGAAGAATTTCTGAAACAAAAGCGCATCAGTAAGTACACCATCTACTTATTTCCATCAATATTGAGGTCATTTTATCAGAAAATAATAGGTGTTGACAATTGCTAAAAATATGAAGAATCATGAGAATGATATTTTCCTTCAAAAGAAAGCAGAACAGCTCACAAATATCGATCATCTGTCAACAGTCGAGAATCTGACAGTGATATCTTCACTGAATATTATTGATCGAAAATATAAACAACGATCACAATCAGATGAATCAAATGATCTTTGATCATCAATTGGCCAAATTCTGGAGATAGTTTGAATTTTCCATGGATACAATCATATGTGAATCTAATTAAAAAATCCTTCTCAAAATCCGTTTAGATAACCGTCGGTCCTTGTAGAAGGTTTTGGTTCTGTCAGAACCTTCTGAACAAGGTCAATATTTTCGTTTGAACGACCAGAACGAGATCTTCCAGTTTGCCTTACTACACTAATTTGTAATTTCTAAATATGTCAAGGAATTTCTGGAAATAAAATTAAATGATTTCTTTGCGAATAAAATTCCATAACAAGATTCTGTAACTTTCTACTTTCATGAAAATACTTCATTGGACTTTACACTTTTGAAGGAAATAAGAAAATCATAACAACATTTCATAACTGGGTATATTTTGTCGAGTTATGGTGAAAGTTAACGTCAACACTACGATGACTCAAAACGATAATCAGGCTTTGATAGAACTTGATTAGTGATGTAAAATTCTCGAGAAAGTATTTTTGGAGAACGTTCCCCGAGCACGAACGAGAAAAAACGAGCATAAACGAAAAAAACTCGGGAATTTATGTCTGGGGTGTAGTAAAGTATCCAAAAACATACTTTTCGTGGTTCTTTCTGAAAATGCTCAAAATTCTCAAATTGCTGAAAATGCTCAAAATTCTCCTAATGCTCCATAAGAAAATGACACGCTGTATCGATATTCTGTTTTACAACTAATACAGTAATAAAGTAATGATTAACTTCTATACTATAACATAATAAAAAACCTTTATTAAGTAGAAAAATACCAAAAACTCTAGTTACAATTGAATATAAAAATGAACTGAAAATAACATGTTAGGTTGAGAAGTAATATGTTTCATCTATAAACTAGCTATAAACCTATTCTACTTCCTCTACTCCAAACGTCTTTACCATTTCGTTTTTTATGAAGAAAGAAATCAAACGCCTCGCATTTTCTTCTGGGCATATTGAAAAACAAAAAACACAACACGAATAATTCACTTTAACCACATGCGCTTACCTTTGCATCTGTGCTTTCACTCCTCAACGAACCACCAAAACAAAACAAGGGGATTCACATGCGTTACAAGCAGATGAAGCGCGCTGATTGGTCGGGATCGTGCTGAAAATTCTCGTTCGTGCTGAAAATTCTCGTTTGTGCTAAAGCACGATCTATCATGCGCGCACGATCGATTTATCGTGCGCGAACGTTCGCGAACGTTCCCCACAGCACGAAGGGAACGTTCTCCCCTTCACATCACTAAACTTGATACAGGCACAGATTAACAAACCTTACAGATGTGCAACTCCACCCCTTTTGGAACTAGGAATTGGTACAAATAGTTGCCAGTTTGTTGAAAAATTCCGCGGATACAGTGTTGGGAATAAGTTGAATGAGTTGGAAAGCAACAAAGACGACTCCAGGCGTCAATGTAGTATGGGTCGTCTAGAGAAAACATGTCGCAGTTAAACATTGTAATCGCTCTTATGGCAGCGGTTACAGCGCTTACACCGTGCAATCGCGACATGTTTTCTGAAGACGAGTGTACTTATGACTATGGAGAAAAATTTGAAAGGCGTTCGATTCTGATTTAAAAGCTCCAACACACTTTATTCTTCCACAAATAAAATGAACACCGAACTTAACCTAGACAGTAGACAATCACATAATGCTACAAACCGGTTTTTCCAATCACAAAATTATTACGAATTTATCAAATTGGTGAATTTTTCTTAGCTAGATTTTCAAAACAAGCAATACTGTTCGGAAATCTATGTACCTTAATAGGTCACATTTCACTACATTCTACTAGGAGGTTACAGACTTTGTAACAACGATTTCCAACACTCTGAAGCACTTATTGTTAGATTCAACTCAAACAGGCTTGAAACAAACTTTGATCCAATCGAAATTTCGGTTGAAATAATAATTACTATGAATAATGATAAACGCACTGATGATCGCACTGTAATAATAACACCAACGAACAACTATAAAACTAAAGGCGACACAGCGGTGATAAGCCTATTCATATTCACGAGCATTGCTTTTTGTCTGCGGCCATATCGTTCTGTGAATGACTGTTAACAGTGTTGACAGACCAGTAAGCAATTATAATTGGGTAGGCGCCACACACAGCACCACAGACGAAAACAAATATCAGCTGACTGGACCTTTAAATTGGTACAATTAACTTTCTTTCTCTAATATTCGATGTCATTTATATTCGGCACATCTATAAGGTATGTTAATCTGTGATATTCGCGGGAATCAATGTTACCAGGTGGCGCTTTGTTTTCATCGTTCCATGTCAAAGCCACGTCAAAACTGGGGGAAAACAAACTCAATCCTCACTCAATCCCATTAGTGCCATTAGCTTGTGTACTGTGTACTGATAAGAGTGATAAGTTTTTAAATTTCTTGACATAAATTGTCAATATTCGATCGAAAACGCCTGTTGTAGATGTTCTTTTGGCAGATATTTTGCTCTATTTAGATGGAAAAAGCCGACCAGTAGTGGAAGGAGAAGCAGTTCTCCGTGCTAATCATGTGATTTTGTGTGAGGCAGAAGACTTCAACAAAAGGCACATTTTTGCACTTTGTCTACAAACTTCGGCGATGAAATCTTCCCCACATGAAGTAAAATTGAAGTTGGGGTCCAGAGAAACTCCTGTAGACCAATGGATTTGTATTTGTTCCTGCAAAGCAGGACAATCTGGGTATTGTAAACATGTTGTAGCTGTTCTTTTATATGTCAGTTTATTTGCTCGTCATAATTAGTTTGAATTGTTTGAACTATCTCCAATTCTTCACCCGTTCACTGTTCACTGAACTAATAAACATGTAATAATGTAAAAAAATTAACCAACTCAACCATCATCACTACCAACAGTGCCAACACTTTATGTCATTGACCAGTTTGACTACAGCTACAGCAAGCTGAATGCAATGTAGTCTATGCACTTTATCCATAAACAACAGTTTGTGTTTTCCCCCAGTTTGAAGTTCGTACTATGTAACCTAGATGTCGCCCACTTCGTGAATCTCGCAAATAGTAACAGGAGGTTACTGTATTGCCACTCTGACAAAATAATTACCATTATTTCAATTGTTTTCAGCACAACTCTCTTGAAGACTTCTGAGGGTTGCTCGTAAGGGGGCAACCGAATAACGGTCAGAACAAATTTAGAAAAAAATTCAGAAACTCGATTATTTAATCAACGTGGTGTTCCAACATCGAGAAGAAAATTACGAACATAAACTCACCTAGCACACTTGATGAATTTGTCCAAATAGTTAGTTGGATAGTGTAGAGGATCAAAACCAGTCTCATCAAAGTTATCAACATCATCCTGGTAATAGCCCCAAATGCTTTGTACGACACACTCTTCCACTGACGTATCAGACTGATCCTCTTTTCTCAAGGGAGCAAAACAGATTTTGTCAAAACTGTATGGGGTACCCTCTCCAACAGCTTTTATTTTTTCTTGAAGTTCTCGAACTGATTTCAAAAACGTGTCATTGAAAGCAGGGCCGAAAGTTATTATGCCATCAGAAGTGTTGTGGTGTATGTAGGAGAGGTTGACAGCCCTTATGATGACCATTTCTGTGCGATAGAAAGGCTCAAAGTGGCTGTCAAAATATTCTTTTTCTACACGACTTCGGGATGTTGGAGAAGCCCATAATTCCACTGGATCAGTGACGATCTAGAAAAAAAAATGGATGAAGTTCATTTGGATCTATAGATCTTATTGCAGTGCACAATAAATTATAATACTGGTACTGGTGGGGGACGTTTGCACGTCAGCAAATAGTCCCTAATGGGACCTTTTTGCAAGCCCCAAGGTTTTTTTTCAATGACTGATGTGGTTCGCTTAAGAGAGCTGGCTAGCATCCTTTTCAGGCACCGCCCATCAGCTCTCTTTCAGAGTTTTTCGGCTGTGTTTTGTAGGCTAGTAATGTACTCACTACCGTATGCTGCAGTGGCAGGCCTGCTAGCTATCCTCGTTAACCCCCGTCAGAGACCGAGGTCCACTTAGCAGCTGGCCCGCTCTCGCGCTCAGCTGGTAGTTTTTCCACACCCACCTACATACACCGTCCTACTTCTTCTCAGTTGCTCACAACCACATCATCGTCTTTTTCTGCGAGTTCTGTGTAGGCTTTGTAACTAAGTCCATGCGCCACTTTAGGAACAGCACTGTTAATTGGAACGCAACAGCGAATCGTGCAGGACTATCCCCAGCCGATGCTCGGAAACTTTACAATATTCAATTCGTAAATAAAATATTGCTCGTGCTGGGAATCGAACCCACGACCTTGCGGTCGTGAGACGGACGCTGTTCCACTGCGCCAATCCCGGCTCATAAATTATAATACTACTTGTACAGCGATTTCATTCACGAATTCAAAGTTTATTTACCTTCAGATATTTTATTCCATGTCCGAGGCCCATGACTAAACAAGCCCCTAAGAACAAAATCAACCAAGGTCTCTCAGCACAGAAGGTTCCCCATTTCTCGAATCCTTTTTGTAGGTAAGTGTCAGTGTTCGCGCCTAATTTTTCAATGAATGAAGACGGCTTGTCGTAGTCGTCGGATGATTTGTTGATTGAGTGTGTTTCGAGTTCATGTCCCATTTCGGATGTCATACCTGAGAACAAATAAAACAGATGTTTGATGTAGGTAAACAGTTAATTTTCAGGACTTCAGTACCCAAGAGAAGACTCAAAACAAAATATTATCAATAAAAATCAATGCTAGGTCTCAATATACCTAGTCTTTGATAAAAATCAATGATATATAATGTATACTAAGTTAATTGATTCTCTATGGTGAGGTAATATTTCCAAAACTAAGAAAATCACTGTTGTCGCGAAATTCAGGAAGAAACAATTAAAATGTGATTTGATAGAGAGATATGTGATTTATTTAATGTTCATGCCTCAAAATTAAATACAGGGTGGCTAAAATCGATTTTTTAATTCAGAGCTTTTTGATTCGATTTTTCTCGAGAACGCGAATGCGAAACTATGTAGACATGAAAAATCGGTTGTTATGATTGAAAACGAACTAATGTTTTTAATGTTCCTGAAATTCAAGTAATAAACCTCAAAATCAAACTTCTTTTGTAAAAATATAGTGCGTCATATTCAAGTAAACTCATCGGAAATATGTTTTTTAAGTTTCATTTGAAAGTATGTAGACATGTAATATCAGATGTTATGGTTGAGAACGAATTAATGTTTTTAATGTTCCTGATATTTTAGTAATAAATCTTAGTTACTAACATGTAGAATCAACTTCTATTGTATAAATATAGTGCGTCATATTCAACTAAACTTATCGTAAATATGTTTTTCTTAAGTTTCATTTGAAACTATGTGGACATGTAATATCAGATGTTATGGTTGAGAACGAATTAATGTTTTTAATGTTCTTGAGAACTCAGTAATAAACCTAGTTACTAACAAGTAGAATCAACTTCTATTGTATAAATATAGTGTCATATTTAACTAAACTCATCGTAAATTGTTTTTTTTTCAAGTTTCATTTGTAACTATGTAGACATGCAATATCAGATGTCATGGTTGAAACGAATTAATGCTTCAATGTTCCTGAAATTTTAGTAATAAACCCCAGTTACTAGAAAGTAAAATCAAGTTCTATTGAAGAAACATAGTGCGTCATATTTAACTAAACTTATCGGAAATATGTTTTTTCAAGTTTAATTAGAATTCAAAACTATGAAGATTGGATTTCAGATAACAAATTTGTTATTTAATGTTTATCACCTTTCAGTAATAAAAACGAGTGATACCTAAGTAAAAAATTTTATTTGACATCTACGCAGAATAGGTTGTGGGGTTCATCTTCTCATCATATTAAAAGCAACTCCAATTTATGAAATTATCTTACAGCATCTCCTATGCCTCAAAATTAATTTCCGATAATTTTTTTCTCGGTATCACCCATGTTTTTGATGATAGAAAATTTTTTGTCAACAAAGGCATGGCCTCGGACAAAATTATCAGTAATACTTCTGCTGCTAGGAAGATTATAAGTGATAATTTATTATGAGCTATCATTACCCAAGTTATGCATATAAGTTATAAGGAAATATATATATAGGAAAATCAGATCATGTAGTTTTGAGCACATCTATTCAAATCATTACAGAATCAGTTCCGAGTCAACGGAAAAAAGTTAAAAAGTATATTGACTTTCATAAGGTTAATGGATCACTTCCACTCATGGACTGGGACGTTTTATTGAGTGGAGATGACGTGAATACCATATGGGAGACTTTTCACAATACTACAAATATCATATTAGAACAGAATACATCAATCAAAACATTTTCGGAAAATAGACTCAAAAACGAAAACAGACATTGTGGAAAAGATTCAAAAGAACAAGAAACGCCAACGATTATCACACTCACAGACGTTTCTCAAATGCACTATCTGAATCGATAAAGAATGCTAGAATTTCATATGAAAGAAATCTATCAAAATTTGAAAACTCCAAGAAGCTTCACAAGTACATAAGATCACAACTTAGTTCTAGAGTTAGTATACCGATGTTGGAGAAGACGGAGGGTGACATATGCAAAGACAACAAAGAAGTCGCAGAAATGATGGCAAGTACTTTCACAACATCCTTCAACATTGAACCTGAATTACCAAATACAATCACGATTAACTCCGTACGCAACCAGGACAACCTTTCCAATATAAATTTCCCTCCGTCAAAAATTCTGGACAAAATTGGTAAAATCATCCTCCTCCCCAGGCATCGATGGCATCACTGTCCTGTTTCTAAAAAGATGCAGCGAAAATCTAGTCTATCCACTAAGTATAATTATGAACCGTTCATTCAAAAACTGCTGCTTACCAAATAGCTGGAAGTTAGCATCTGTAGACTTTTGTGTAAATTAGAACATTTTGGTGTACGCGGGCTACTACTGACGTGGATCCAGAATTTTCTAGAAAACAGATATTTTTGTGTTCGAATAGATGATTGCTTCTCTGACCAATATCCTGTATTGAGTGGAGTTCCCCAAGGATCTGTACTTGGTCCTCTGTTGTTTTTGTGTTACACATCAGATTTATCACATATTTTTAAGTCAACCTGTTCTTTTTACGCTGATGACACAAAACTTTACAATAACACAAAATCACAACATATATTGCAAAATGACTTAATTGCCTTATACAACTGGAGTTGTGAGTGGTTACTACCACTGAATATTGATAAATGTGTTGTACTTCACCTTGGTAAAAATAATCCAAGACAAAATTATACCATCAATGATGAGCAATTAGTTAAGGTTGAATGCCACAATGATCTTGGAGTTACCATAACCAGCAATTTAATGTGGTCACAACATATTTCAAACATATGCAAACGAGCGAATACAAAATTGTACCTCTTGAAAAAAAAGTTTTTCCGAAAACGTCACCTGAAACTTTCACTAACCTCTACAAAGTTTTATGTTAGGCCAATCCTAGAATATGGAGGACAAGTGTGGAGTCCGGAGTTGATCAGAGATCGTAACATGTTGGAATCTGTGCAACAACGAGCAACCCGAATGTCCTTCGGTCTCAGAAGACCATCATACCATGAACGTTTGAATCAGTTGAGCCTGACAACATTCGAAGATCGAAGACATCGTGGAGACTTGATCCTAACTTATCGGATTCTTCATGGATTTCTACCCTCACTGAGTGATATGTTCCAGATAAATGATGATACACGATTAAGAGGACATAATTTCAAACTTAAGAAGGAACATTTCAGGTTGTCAAATCGGCAGAACTTCATAGTAAATCGTGCTTTCTCGGCATGGAACAACCTGGATACAGACATAGTTAATGCACCCTCAGTATCATCATTCAAAAGTCGATTAGATCGTATTACTGAGTAAATTGTTTTTTTTTTTTTTTTCAGTTTGCATCGCATTATATCTGTTTATTTTATTTCGAAATTTTCAATTTCTATTCAACATTTTTAATTGTTTTTTCAATTTTATTTTTAATCTAATTGTTTGTCTAGTAGCTATTTACATACAGAGTGGGCCTTTGAAAACGAAACAGAGGCTCTGTAGGTTGCCAAAACCGGATTATGAAAACAATCTGAAACACGTCAACTACATTTTCGAGGGGGACATCGTTCTAAAATATTTTCAGCCCTGCGGCGTTGCCGCTTCTAACAAAAAGAAGCAACAACTTTGTTATTTCAAATGGAACACCTTGTATTTTATTGCATTTTTATATTCTCCCCGAAGAGCTGATTCCATCAATGCATCACACTTGGGGCCTAGCTGTAATGGTTTCAGGGATATAAAGTGTTCAAAATCGAGATTTTTCAAACTTTAGCATTTTTTTGTGTCCAAACTATTCATTATTGGTCAAAACGGCTCTCATGTCCCTATCTCGACTTGTGATTTACTATCTACTGACATTTATTTGAAACAAATACAGGGTGGTTCAAGATTCAGAATTCTGATCACCCTGTATCTGTTCCAATTAAATGTTAGTAGATAGTAAATCACAAGTTGAGATAGGGACATGAAAGCCGTTTTGACCAATAATGAATAGTTTCGACACAAAAAAATGCTAAAGTTGAAAAATCTCGATTTTGAACACTTTATATCCCTGAAACCATTACAGCTAGACCTCAAGTGTGATACATTGATGAAATCAGTTCTTCGGGGAGAATCTAAAAATGCAATAAAATACAAGGTGTTCCATTTGAAATAACAAAGTTGTTGCTTCTTTTCATTAGAAGCGGCAACGCCGCAGAGCTGAAAATATTTTAGAACGATGTCCCCTCGAAAATGTAGTTGACGTGCTTCAGATTTTTTTCATAATCCGGTTTTGGCGACCTACAGAGCCTCTGTTTCGTTTTCAAAGGCCCACTCTGTATTTTTTTTTTTTCTTTATGTGTACCATACAACTATGTCATGTATAAATTGGCTTTTATAGGTTCACACCTCAGCCCATTCTCACTTTTTAATAATAATAATAATAATGCCTCCTGCACTGACATGCATTCAAAATCTTCCTACCATTTGGACTGAAAGGGTCAATTCAATTATACCAATCTGAAAACCATGCATATCAGTCGAGATATCAGTGCAGGCATGTTCTAATTACTTCTGTAAGTTTAGAACGGCATTTTTCGGAAACTGTTCAAAGAATGAAAAACAAGGGTATAGTTGAAAAGATACTCGAACGCCCTTCAAAATGATGTGCATCATGACTTCCCTTTTCGTATTAGGTTCTAAGGGTAACATCTACCCCTCCTAAGGGGTTGAACTGAGAAGGCTAAAAATATTATTCGATTTTTGTTCCGTTGTTTTCTGTTTTTTTTTTATCATAGGTAACATTTTTCATTTTAATATAATTTCTGTTCTTGAACATGTGAGTTAATATTGTATTGTATGTTCAGTAGGAAATGAATGATTTTTTCCATAAAGACTTTAATAAAATTTCAATTTTTGAATAACTTTCGATTATTTTCCACTACTCTTATCCCCATCCTAAAATACCATAATCTAATTGAGACTGAACCAAAGCAAAACATTTCCAAACTAGGTATGCGAATACTTTGTACCAAAGTTTGAATTTAGAAATGATACTTTTTTTTCTAAACATAATCTACATGAATATCCCATTGAGATTATTATTAATGAACTCTGATTTATGGAACACCATATTATATTTCAACCTTTTGTAGAAGTTCATAATATCACAGTGGAATGGAAATATGGAATAATAAGAAATTACAAAGTAAACACCACAACATTCAATGAATCTATTACAATTGATTCATAGATAAATGTTGGTGGTCAAGAAATGCCGCTTTATGGATCTCAACCTATTAGAAATCTAACTCGATTCCAGAAAAATCACACATATAAAAACATTACAAGTTATAAGATTTCAGTAGTTTTATATTGAAAAAAAAATCGCATTTCAAGAACAAAAGGCTTGATGGGTTTTATTTCAAGAGGAACATCCTGTACATTTTGCACTTATTCGGTTCGCTGAAATAGTAAACAAAAAGTAGCGATCAGCTATCGAATCGATGACATCGTCCGAAGATATCACCGCATGATAACCGACAAAATGTTTATTAATGAAAATTGTTTAGCCGCGTCGATAAGTTGGTCGTTAATCATGAATTAATTTTATCTCTAGATTCTTGAATTACGACTTCCATTTTTTTTTAAATAGGTAAATCACACATAGTCGATGGGTTTTTAGTCAAAAATAGCGGTTTGCTGGTAATTCTCCTGCTCAAAATATCAAATTTGTTAGGAATGTCTTGAATAATTTCAGAATAAATTCAACCACTCTCTCAAGTTTTGAGAAGTTTGTGACCTTGTAAATAAGTTATTGTTAAAAATTATGTCCCTTTAAATATATCATATACTCCTCTATCATGAAGCACAGTTACAGTTATGCCGTTGTTAAACATTATTACATGTCGTCTATTTATTCGTAGAAATAAATCAATAATTCTAGTTCATTTACATCATCAGATCATAGCATCACTGATAAACTAGATAGGCCCGATCTTTATTCAATGTCTGACCGAGTCCTTGAACTATGAGACAATTTGAAAATATAAAAACACATACATTACAATACTGTCATGGAATTATTCATGATGAATTGCTGAATGAGAGGTAATTATAATAATCGATTTCTACTTTGTTTTCAATCAGAAACCATATATTCACAAAGGAAGAGGACCATTCTACTAATACTAACCCCCACAACCCCAATCACCACCACCCATATCACCAGAACCAATACAGTGAAAAACCAATTAATGGCAGAAACATACTTTTCAAATACCTATTGTGAAGTAACTCAAAAACTAGACTTAGATCAACACATCCCTATGATTGTAAAAGACATCAAGGGTTGATTATTATAATGTCACTTTAAATTTAATGCATGTTGTGACCACACATATTATCAACTACCTATATTTTATGTAAACATATTTTTTCTATGCTCACAGTTCTTACTCCAAATGAAAAATATGTTGATTGCGTCTAATATGTTCCATGTGATTGCTCTTTTCACTGTACCCATACATGCATTGGATTCAAGTAAAAGCAACCCAATACCATATGTACATGCTTTATATCTGATAAAATCTGGTCATTAGATTCACATCACCAAAAAATATGGAATGATGCAGACGTGAAATTGAGGTATCAAATATACAGCATATCCATAAACCAGAAGGACAGTTGAATATCTTTTGAACCTTAGGTTAGCACTATGTTCTTCGAACATTATAGGGATTCCCTTTTTTTAAATAGAGCAATAAATGGATTAACTTAGCAACACCGCGTCAGATTTTCGAAAACAAAAAAAACATTAGTGTAGTAAACATTAGTAGCTCTCCTGATACTGTATGATACTGTATGCAGTTCAAAATTTCCATTGCTTCCAGAAATATTTAACTGTCAGATTGGTCTAGGGAGAACCTGTATAGGTTCGGCAAAATATAATACAAACTATTATTGATCATAAAAAAAGTACACTGAAGTATCCCAAGAAAATGACAGGCTGGTGAACTACCAAGAATTAGTTCATCACTGAGATATCTTGAGTAAGGCATATGGGTCGTCTGTAAGACTGATAAAATCAAGACTTATTAAAATTCGATTTGATTTTTGAATTAATTCACATTAGAAAAAAAAATGTCTTCATAAATTCGAAAGAATAATTAAATATGCCATTCTTGCAAAACAAATTGAAAATATTGATAGAAAAAATAAATAAACGCATAACTCATAACTTATTCAGAATCTTCATTAGAGCTATTTTCTCGAAAATTTCAGCAATTTTGATATAACAACAAATATCCTCACAAAAATTTTGAAGTGTAGTAAATAAATTGCAATTCATTTATGTTTTGCAATCATTGGGGCTGACTGACCAGCTCCCGTCCCCACAGTCAGCTGACTGACTTTCATAACGCTCATTCATATGCAATATACAATATGTATAATGATTTTCAGCCTTAGAAAATTCATTGCATTACCTCGGTGGGAACGACAACTTCGATAGTATACCAGGGACACCTGTTCTCAGTTTCGCTTGACTGACGCAGTATATTTGTGTACAAAACCATTGTAATAAACTGTGAAAAAAATAGGTTTAGCGAATTCAGAGAATCTTTTTGGCGCTGGCTCTTAGACTATAGGTAAAAATGCGATTATTTCCATTGGAGAAAGTTTGAATTAATTCACGACTCAATTCACATGAATTAATTCATGCCATCCCATATTTTTTGGTGACGATAATCGTTAAAAAAGCGTCATTGTGCACATACTAGATCTCTTGGAGGACTGTAGGGGGCTCTCCTCCCCTTCTCCCAGCGCCACCTGGGACGAGTGATGGTCGGCGACTGCCAGCCGGCGGGCAACCGATGCCCGAAGTTCGTCCGATCTGTGCCCATTCACCAAACCCACTGCAACCAACATTACCCCATTTCGTTTGCACCAAAAAAACCACACAGAAAGAAAAAAATAAAAGAGAGACATTGAATACATACACACCTATGGTAGGTCCTTTTTCAATCAATCAATCAAAAATATACTTTATTGTCAAAGAAACACATTTTCGTTGACAAAGCATGATAAATAAATAAATACAATAAATGAAGTGAAATGAAAAATTTCACAGTCAAGGTTGAGGTTGAACTCGTTGGAATACAGATACATAGACAATTTAAATGATCAATAATTGAAATAAATAAATAAATAAGTAAATTGTATAGACTAGTGTATAACATTAAGGTACATACATTATTGACTGGATCCACATGCACTCATATTGAAATATATCTCTGTACAAGAACCAATAGTAGCTATACCCTGAGCGTGTTGCTATGCTACTTATTGAAATAAATTTGAAGGAAAGACAGTACACAAATATTGAATTTATTTCGAGTCATTTTATTCATTATAGCTGCCCGGTGAACGTTGTTTTGCTATGTACAGGGTGATTCACCATAAATGTCCCCCCTCTAGCTCAGTTATTTTTGAACCGATTTCAGAATTCAAAATATCATCTTGATTGATTTTCGATAAAGTATTTTTACTCTACATCAGAAAATACAGGGTGCTCGGAACAAACGACAGGGTACTATTTGATTTTTTTAAATGGAACACCCTATTTTTCATTGTAGTTTTAGATTCTCCCTGAACAGCTGATTTGATCGATGCATCACACTTGGGGTCTAGCGGGAATGATTACAGAGATATAGGGTGTTCAAAATCGAGATTTTTCAACTCTAGGATTTTTTTGTGACGAATCTATTCATTATCGGTCAAAACGGCTTCCATGTCCGAATCTTCACTTTTGATTTACTATCTACTGACATTTAGGCGGCTCGGTGGTCGAGAGCGTGAAGGCGATGAGTTCGTATGGGGACTCCCACCGAGACATAGGTTCGAATCCTAGTTAGGCCATGGATGTTTGTGTTTGTATGTATACCTAACCCCGCACAAGTTTCGACTTATGGGGCGTTTGGTCCCAGGGCTGAGACCAACGAGGTATGCAATTGCAATTGCAAATAATTGGAACAGATATACAGGGTGATCAGAATTCTGAATCTTGAACCACCCTGTAAATGTTCCAATTAAATGTCAGTAGATAGTAAATCAAAAGTTGAGATAGGGACATAGAAGCCGTTTTGACCAATAATGAATAGTTTCGGCACAAAAAAATCCTAAAGTTGAAAAATCTCGATTTTGAACACCCTATGTCTCTGTAATCATTCTCGCTAGACCCCAAGTGTGATGTATTGATGAAATCAGCTCTTCAGGGAGAATCTAAAGATACAATGAAATACAGGGTGTTCCATTTGAAAAAATCAAGTAGTACTCTGTAGATCGTTTGTTCCGAGCACCCTGTATTTTCTGATGAAACGGGAACATATTTTCTGAAAAATCATTTTAGATTTTTTTCAAATTTTTAAATCGGTTCAAAAATAGGTGAGCTAGAGGGGGGGACATTTATGGTGAATCACCCTATACTTACATTATTTCTAGAAAATACTTTCTCAGTTGAATAGTCAACAACACACTTTTATTATTTCATTTTATACTTCTGTTCAGTTTGACTAACCATAAAAGCATGTTAACTTAGTCTCTCAAACTACTACTTATTTTCTACTTCTTTTTAGTTTTGCTATCGATGACAACGTGTTTCATTAGTTTTTCAAAACACTATTTATTACATAGCTCGTTCGACATATTGGATCCGCCATCTTGAATTTTCTAATTATGATGAAGGAATCATAATCCTCGACCCAAAAAACCCCCAGATACCAATTTTGAATAGAATCGGATCATAATTTAAAAACTCAACTCAACTCCAAACATAAGATTTTCAGAAATGGTGAAAATACACTGAAACATAAATCTCGTTGGAAAGTGCATTTCTTGAACTTTGTCACTTTCCACACTAGTTGAATTATACCACCTATTACTGGCATATTCAAGAAAAGTGATGAGAGTTTTTTCTTGAATCAAGATTTGAATTCAAAGCTCAAAATCTCCTTCAGGAATCGAGATTATGCTATTTTCTATAGTAACTCTTCATCTCAAAAACAACTCATCTGCACGCATGTGTAGTTTGTAGCATTAAAAGTGGGACAACCTGTATAAACCTGGTGATTTTCCAAGGTGGCTCACCCCTATGACTTTTTTTACTTTTGAAGATAGAAAATCTAAATTCGAAGGTAGTGTATTATAGTTCAATGTAAATTTCATGACATATTTACTTGCTTTGTCGTACTTCCGGTTTGACCGGAAATGACCCCATTTTTATATGGGAAATCCTAAATCCTATATATTTTCAATTATTTCGATCGGGAATGGCATCCAAGTAATTCGTAAGGAAATGATCTTCCAAAAAACCGGAGAGCCACCTCTATTCCGTTCGAGATTCCGTATAATAAAAGTCAACTGGAAAATCCATATTTGTGACTTTCAAATAATCCTATGATGATCCCAAAGTCGTATTTTTCTCATGTTACTTGAACAAGAATGAAGGGATTTACACGATTCATGGACATTCTAGATCTGAAATCTAAGAATAAAAATTGTAAAAATTGTTGTTGGATTTAGAATGTAATTCTCGATCGAAATATGTGATGATATATAGTAGGCCCAATCAGAAATCAAAAGTTGGAGTAATTTCCAGCCAATCTGGAAGTACGACAAAGCGAGTAAATATGCAAAAAAAGTAAATTGGAATATACTATACAACCACCGAATTTCTTTTTTTATCTTCAATAATGAAAGAATTATATGGGTGAGCCACCTTGGAGAATCACCCGATATGTTGAATTTTTGCAAATCAAGTTTCTCTCAGCTGGGACTTGCGACTTTGCAACAACGCAACTATGATTTTTTTTGAATTCAAGTAGTCAATGTTATGTTATTGTATGAAATGTTCATTAGTGATTTATTGGTAAGGAAAATTAGTATCTACTCATTATACCTAATTACCATGTATATATGTATGTATTCAATGTCAAAATTAATGTCCATGAACAAAACATCTCCGAATACTATAACCAATAAAAAACGTAAAATTAAATGTATTAGTCATTTTATGGATATTCAGATGCGTCACTATAATATACATTATATACCATATTCAAAAAATTCCAGTTAGTAATTATTATTTACACCATGTCGTAAAAACAAAACATAATATTTATATTGAATATTAAATGATGCTCAAGCCAGGCATTCCACAACATATTTAGAAATATCAAATCCTGCCCAGTTATTTGAAAGAGAAACTATTACATGCAAAAAATACACAAGAGGACTAACATTTTCAATCTCACCAGATGGCGCTACTACCGCTTGAGGTCTATGTGAAATTGAAAATTTCCAAAGTTTTGCTGGACAGCCCTAAAGACTATGGCCAGTTTTCTTGGAAATCAATAATATAATACAAAAAATAAAGGTATGATTAGGCTACGGCTAAAACCTTCAATGTGGATCTTGATGCACACTTTTTACTTCAGCATCTTCCAATGAAATTGTGTACTGCAAGTATCCAAACATCTGAGATAACACGAGGACTCTACCTTGGAACGATCCGATACAAAAGTCTACACCTACCTTTCTATTGAATATTTTGTACTGCACTGTGGTTATAACAAATTCTAAAATAAGGGAGAAACTCGCCGAATTAAGTGTATGCCTTGCTGTCACATTCACTGATTGAATAACTATTCCCGATAGAAAAAAAAACATTAAACACCACCTTACTGCAGTAATTGAAAGAAACCATTCTAGGTAAGATTTTTTTTATTTGACTGAAGTGTTGTATGTTGAATCGACAATCATTTTATAATACATTTTAGTGATGATATTGAGAGTATAAAGATACATTGTATTTGAGTTAATGATTTATAGTACCTATACACATATTTACAATAATGAAAGCTGATTTTTTAAATAGAAACCAAAAAACATCAGATTAAACACCCAATAACCAAATCTCAAGATGGTTAGCATAGATAGATATCTACTTAGACAGTTGTATGAATAAATCACCTGAAATCAAGTTCTAGACCATGAGCACCAATATGCCTGACTGACATTCATTTCATGTATGCTTGCCATCACGATGCATCGTGATCTCACTAACTCCAAAGAAAGGAGCTGCGACTACCGGAACACTATTATGAATGGTGTTTATATCGCAAGAGATGAGCGTTTCATATAGGGACTGTAAATACCATAATAAAAAGTAGTTTTGATTCTCCAAATAATATATAAAACTCTCATAACACCAGCCTGCATATTATTCAAAGCACCAAAATTCATGTGAGTTACAGAACCAAAAAGAATACAACACAAAAGTATAAATCCGCAAAAGCCTGCACATTTATCAATACCTTGACAGTCCTCTGCTCTATTCTCCGGTTCAGTTTGGAACAGTTCTCTCTCATAGTTGTGCATTTTGACTCCTGTGGAAAAAATTACAAAACCACGCTATTCACTCATAGTGCTAGCCAAACACCCAGATCCAGTAACTACCAAATAATACATGCTATAGACATGGTTTGGTTTGTGATGATAAATAAAGATGATGCTAATGACCAAACTGGTTCTTTTTTCATCACATAGACAGGAGGCAAGTATAAATTTTCTCTTCAGTTCCGCAATTTTTAAATTCAGAAAAGCTAGAAATTATTAAGGTCAAAATATCCTTTGCGCCCCAATTTTAACATATTTAGTGTATATACACTAAACCGAGAAACCAAATAATTATTCAATTTTCAAACAAATCAAATTGGATGCGACATAAATCATGCTTTGTAATCATTTGAAATGACTAATTTCCTTGAAAACCTCACAGGAATATTTTCTAATATATAAATTATAATCTATACATAGTTCAAATGGAAAAAAGTCGATGCTATCATATTTATAGGATATTATGTAATGAAATATTATTTAATTTTCAAACCATGATGTGCAAAAGATTAGAAAATGTCCAAATCAATCAATCAATAGTTTGTTTTCGAAGGATTATATTCTACTAACTTATCTGGTGAGAATTGCTTCAGGGAATAAAAATATGAGTATACTTTCAAGAAATTACGATTAGTCATCAAGGAATAGCTTTCATGAAATAACCATTTCCATTTCTTATCACCATTAAAAATACGGCCAGTCCCATCAACAACTCAACTTAAATACATGAAGATTAATGTGTTCTATTGTTCATCAATCAGAAATGAATTATCAATGCAAAAATCGTCTTTGTACCTTGTTGATCAACATAATTTTCATGTAACGAATTAGTGTATTAATATTTATTTAGGTATGTTATTTCAACTTACATATTCATCATAATATACAAATTTTGCGCCACTCCTACTATGCCAAGAACTGTCGGCAAATTTTGACCGTCAGCTGATAACGAAATGAAATATATGTCCTCAAGGCATGTAATAACATTGTATTTTATCGAAAGGCATTAGGAAAGCGGCATCACCAACCAGGCGAATGGAATCTGATAGCATCAGCGTATGTTCGGGTGCTGAACTCCAATGTGAAAACAACATTCTAAAACGTGCCGGTTCTGTGCTTTGTGGATCATAAGGTGAGGAGGTGTAAAGTAGGTTTCCTCAGGAAATAAAAAGTCGAGTTTTTGTGAAAAAGCTTTCGCGATGGATCTGACATGATTTTCCTTCTATTTGATGAAAAAATAATCTGCAAACCGATGAAATTGATGAATTTCTCAAGTAGATATGAAATCGCGATTGTAGAGATAGTTTCTCTCATTGTGGATCAGCCAAATAGTCTCCCAAACCACGAATATTTCAACAACAAAAATTGTCTCTTTTTTTGAAGAGACCATTCTATCCATCGTGTATAAATAATCTGTTATTTTTCTTCTTCCAATATTGAGGTAACTTGACTATGACGAAAGTCAGTTACAGGTTAGGTTGCGATGACGTATAGCGATGGGGGATAATACCTTATGAGTAAATAGACACTTTGAATTGATTGATCTGGCTACATTTGTAATCTTTTCAAGAATTTTTGTAAAAACGCAAAGTAATGATAAGTAGTGACAAATTCTGTGATATAATTAGGCTATTTTTAATACTACACTGCAACCAATGTTCCTGACAAAATGTACTCTATAATTTCAATCATTCTTTTTCTTTTATATGACATGTTTTTTTAGAGTAAGGACCTCTATGGAAATGTAATTTTACGTGGTTCAATAAAGACTTCTAAATTTCAACATTTCTAACTCCTGGCATTGATTGAATGTCAGTCTCAGTTTTCTGCTAAGAGATTTTGGCTTTTCCGATGAAACGTGATTTTTTTTTGTTCTGGTTCCCACGAAGAGCGATATCCTGTAATGTTCAGAGAACATCGTGAGAACCAAGGGAAATAAGGTAGGGGTTGGTGTTCTTCTTGAATTTCTGGAGGTTATATGCCTCGGGGAACACCTCCCCTGGCAATGTGATCCAGAGCCCCGCTGTTCGTTGGATGAACGAGTCTTTGGAAAGAGATGTTCTGAAGGTCTCCAAAGTGACCACGAAGGGGTGCGAAGCTTCAACTCGACGGGTTAATCTCACTGGGACTGCCAAGGGAGGAAAAATTGTTGATATTTCAGAAGAGCATCGTCCATGAAAATATCTATGAAATAGAGCCAGATCGCCAACTTTTCTACGGTGTTCCAGAGAAGTGAGTGAGTTTGTGAGCGACGCATCAACCACGAGACGAATTGCCCTTTTTTTGACAGAATCCAACAGTCTCAGGGTATGTTTGGGTGCTGCACTCCAAATATGGGAATAGTATTCCAGGACAGGTCGGATCTGTGCCTTAGGGATCATAAGCAGCTGATTGGAAGTGAAATATCCCCTGGCCCGAAACAGAAATGCTTGCATGGATGCACTTTTAGCAATTGATCTCATGTGATTTTCCCAAGAAAGGTTATTGCTGATAGTAATACCAAGCATCGAAATGGATGTCTTCATGTGATAATAATATTGGTTGACTCGAATTGGTTAGCTGCCATGGACCAATGATAACATCACACGTTTCATCGCTAGCATCGCCAAAGCCAAAATCGCCTAGCAGAAAACTAAGCTTCAAACAATTTCTCTACTGCTAGATGCCATCGCAACTTCTCCTTCTTTATTGTCCTGAGAAACGATGTTGTTGTTGCAAAATCTAACTCACTCTTGCCTAAGATTCAGCCTTGAAGCTGAGTTTACTACTGAGCGATTTTGGTTTTCGGCGATACTAGTGATAAAACGTGTAATGATATTTATTCGTCAATTTGAATTCAAATCCATCAAATTGTGTAAGCTATCTAATAACGAGATAGGAATGGTGCAAAATATACGAAATAAACTTAATTGAAAAAAAAAAGAAACGTTGAGCCCGGTATCTCATAATGATGATTTCGAGAAGGAATCATTGAAATTGAGCAAAAAATCATTACTAACTGTTATTAATTATCGTTCAACATCTTCTCTTTCATCACAAACCAAATTGAAATAACAACAAAACTCCACACAAAGGAAAAAGTGTATAACACAAATAGATTCTGAAACATCTGAAACAAACTGAAAAACAAAATTAGTCACCAAACACCACACAAACTCACCCAAATCATCGGTTCTTCTGGAACAAGCGGTGACCATCACCAGAAACATGACAGATCCCACGACGAATACGACAACCATCAAAAACGCATAACCGTCGTATCCGGCAAGTTTGAATGGTTGGGGTGGTGGAGGCTGAGGTGGTGGTGCAGGACAGCTGTCTTCACAATCCACGCAGTTGCATGCTGGTGTGTTCGCCTGAAGATGATAAAAATTGGTATAATAATAATAATAATAATTTATTCACAAAAATGATAGTATAGGGGTGAATTAAGAATATACCAGAAAGCAGTGGACTGCTTGTTTGTGGACGCATTCTACAGTGGCTCTTATAAAGCTAACATAAATTTGTATTTACTAAATAAATAGGAGAAAAAAAGTGAGATATAATATATAAAATATGGATAAAGTAATATATATATATATTTAAATATACCGGGTGGCTACGGAAGTATTGCCTACGGAATATCTCAGTTATTGTATGAAGTAGGTTTGTGAAATTTGAAGCGTCGATATAATGACATAAGAGCTAGAATTTGAGCACATTGACATGTCGAAGTTAACTTCCGGTTTGACCGGAAGTAACATCATTTTTCTTATTTCAAATGGAAACCCTATTTTTTTTTCTTTTCGCTTTATTCAGCATTCAATTCCCTTTCTAATGACATATCACAAGTTGGTATCTAACCAGAAACTAGATCAGAAAAAAGAAAAAAATTATTATTGAAATTCACCGAGTAGGCCGTGGAAGCAAAATGAAAGCCAAAAAATGACTTCCTATTATATCATTAGAAAGGAATGGTTATACTGAATAGTACAGGCAAGAAAAAGTTGTATGTTCCTATTTAAGTTATGGACCTACAGAGTATTGTTTTTTTCCCAATTTTTCCAATATTTTTTTTGGCGGCTTTTCATAACGCCGACGAATGAAAATGAAGTATCACAGTAGTAGCAACTGTTATCAAGTGACGTATGGTTTTCATAGCCAACTTTTCAATTTTTTACTTTCATTTTGCTTCCACGGCCTACTCGGTGAATTTCAATAATATTTTTTTTCTGATCTAGTTTCTGGTTAGATACCAACTTGTGATATGTCATTAGAAAGGGAATTGAATGCTGTATGAAGCGAAAAGAAAAAAAATAGGGTTTCTATTTAAAATAAGAAAGTTGATGTTACTTCCGGTCAGACCGGAAGTTAACTTCGACATGTCAATATGCTCAAATTCTAGCTTTTATTATAACGACGCTCCAAATTTCACAAACCTACTTCATACAATAACTGAGATATTCCGTAGGCAATACTTCCGTAGCCACCCGGTATATATATATATATATATAAAATATATGTGATACACTGATATAGGACGAAAATAAAACTTTATAAAGGTTCATGTACAGATAAAATACAATGGTTAAAAAATTATGATTAATTGAACATGTATACTTATATACTGCTTATACTTATTAATTTGAGGTCTACTTGTTCTATAAGCTAAGATATGTACAATTTTTGAAAATTTAAGTGCTGAAAAGTAACGTGCATAGATGTAGCAATGTCTTAAATATGTAAAAAGTGTATATATGTGCAAAATGTCTATGTAGGTGTGTTTATTATATTCATCATATTCGAATAATATTATTATTCTTGTTATTACATATTTATATCTATAACTTCATGAATTTTTTGCCGCGGATTTCCGAGGACATATTTTGTTATTTGGGTTTTGAATTTTTTTATTTGATCCTCTTTTCTAAGGGGTTTCTGGTATTCCGTTGAAAACCTTTGGTCCTAGGTAAATGTAAGTTCTCTGGTATATCGTTTTTTGAACAAATGGAATTTGGTAAAGGTATCGACCTTTGGTATTTCGTTCATAATATTTTCTGAGCAGTTCTTGTATATTTATGAATTGATTTGTTGCCAGATTGTTGTTTATTGTCAAATATTTTTGTTTTGAGTTATAGAAGTTCTGTGGGATAGCGTGGTGGCTTTTCATATAATATTTTTAAAATTCGTTTCTGAATGACTTCGATTTTCTTTAGGTGGACATTCTTTGCTGCTCCATATCCGATGATTCCGTATGTCAAATGGGGTTCGAAGAGTGTGTGATATAACATTTTTAATTGATTTTCTCCGAAATATTCTTGAGAGTTGTTTTATCTTATATACACACACAGATCTTAGTTTCTTTAGGAGAAAGGTAATTTGCTCGTCCCATTTTATGTGGCTACCTGTTTTTATCCCTAAGTATTTTATCGAGTTGGAAGAATTTATGTAAAAGTTATCTTGGAGACTAATTCTATTGTAATTCGGAAGTTGCGATAGTTCGCTGCAGATAGGCACGAAGAAGGTTTTCTGTACAAACCCATTACCTCCCACTGTACTCATTTGAGTACACTGCAAATTATGGTCAACTATCTACATCTATTGAAATTTTTCAACAAAATAATATCGTGGTAGTTTTGTTCTGCTATGTACCAAAAACTCGTAATTTCGAAATGTACTCACAAATGGCGTAAATGTCGAGCATGTCAACTGAAGAGATGAACAATCAAACCCTTGTGCCTGACAAAAAAATAACCATAAATCTTCTAACCGAGGTCGACATAAAAATGAGTATAGAAATTCTTCTGCTTTCTGGCAATTACCCCCGAGAACCCATCTACTGGAGCGTTGACAGTAAAGTTTGGGCACCATTCGTTGCTTCCAGTATGTCTAGAAATAAATTCCAAGAAATAAAGAGGTACATGCACTTCTCTGACAATATCTAACTGGATTGTGATGCAATTTTGAAATTTTAAAAACTTGTTTGTAGTATTCAAGATTTTTAGTTATTTTCTTCGTTATTTTGCTTGAAGAAATTTGAAGAATTTCAGTGTTATAAACACCGCACCAGACATTTACACTTCTCCGGCCCTGCTTTTTGATTGGTTTTACTGCTCTAGGATTCTCAGTAGCCCAGCTATGTTCATTTTTACGATGTTGAAAATGAACACTCATCTGTGAATATAATGTTCCTAGTGAAATTTGCATCACGATTATGTCTTTCAATAATATAACGACAAAACTGTAAACGGTTTAGATGATCTTGTGGAAATAAATAATGCACTGGCAATACTTTATACGGCTTCATATGGTTATTCCTTGAAACTCTTCTGATACTTGTGATGGATATGTTAAAATAACTCGCAGCCATTCTAGTTGAACGATTTGGATCTTCAATAACATAAAGGAGTATATTTTCCTCTGTCCCTTCTACAAGGATCTTTTTCTGTCGACTCCTCTTCAAATCTTTCAAATTTCTTCTATTTCGACTGAACTTCTCGAATATCCCCTTGAAGGTATTCCGAGAAGGTAGTGGACGCTCTCCAAACAGAAGCACATATTCTCTACAAGCAGCGGTTGCACAAAAAATGTATATATCTAAGAAATCACATCTTTCATTCAAATTGTAGCCCATTTTAATTCACTCGGAACTATTTGAATTTCAAAAAAAACTAATACATGGACATTATTGACATTTTTTCAAATCCCACTAAGTTCACATAACATGATGTGATATGAGTATTTTCGTCAACTGCAATCGTCAATAACTCAATCATTTTCGATCCAAATATGCATGTTGTTTGTAATAGATACTGTAGGTAGCCTCTAGCAAGGAGCTATTGGGGAAAAATCATTTAAGAATCGAGTTCATGAGAACGTGTATTTTTATGACATCTCTCATAATTCTAATGACAACTGTCTCTTCAACCAAATATCTACAGGGTCATGCACAATAATATAACATGCCCCCTCAAAAGAAAATAACAATAATAAACAAATTTTTGAACTGGTCAATCTAATTGGAAATCTGCGAACCTGGCGGGCATCTTTCTATTTCTCATGACATTAGATCTATTGGATGGACCAGGATCAGATGGACCAGGATCAGGATCAGATTGACCAGGATCATCTTCACTATTCATGTTTGATGTATGTGGAAATCTTCGAACATGAACCAAGTTCCTCCGAAGTAGGTTTCCATCATTAGTTTTGATTTCAAAGGATCTAGGAGTTGTTATATTTTCTATGCACCCTCTCTTCCATATTTTATCCTCTTTATTTTTCTTGAACATTACCTCTTCATTAATCAATGGGCTTTCAAGATTTCTCGATCGATTCGATCTCGAATATTTTGATTCGTTCTTCCGATTATCAATCGATGCATCAACATTTCTTATAACTTTGGGTTTCAACTTCGTGTCCTTGATAGGAATAGAACATCTCAAATTTCTTGAAAATAATCTTTGTGCTGGACTACTTCCTATTTTATTCGGTGTATTCCTTTCGAGCAGAAGCATTTCGTATAAATCATTCTTGCTCTCGATACTTTTTTCTATTAGCTGCTTTGCTGTTTTCACGGCTGCTTCTGCTTTTCCGTTTCCTTGGGAATGATATGGGCTAGAGGTATAGTGTTCAAAATTCCAGTCATCCTGAAATTTACTGAATTCCTGGTTAACGAAATTTGTCCCATTGTTACTTATGACTTTTCTTGGTATACCATGGCTACTAAATATTTTTTTACACATCTGAATTGTTGTTTTCGCTGACATATCTTTGAGTTCTTCAATTTCAAAGAAATCAGAATAGTGATCCACGATTATCAAGATTCTTTTTTTTATATTGCTAATGGTTATTTCAAACACATCCATACTAACTATCTCAAATGGTAGTTCTGGGATTTCAGATGATAACATTGGTGGATTTTGTTGGCTTTTCGAAAACTTCATGCAAATTTCGCAACTTTGAACTTTATCTTTTATCTGTGCCGTCATCATTGGCCAAAATATCCTCTCCCTAGCTAAATTTGTTGTATATTCTATACCTAGATGGCTGCAATGTAATTTATCCAACATTACTTTCCGCATATTCGGTGGTATAAGGATTCGATCACATTTGAAAATGAGTCCATGTTGTGTATGAAGGTCTTGTCTGAATTGCCAATAAGGGCGTAAATAAGTAGGCACACTTTTATTTGATTGTGGCCAGCCATTTTGAATAATCACATACAGTTCCTTCATTCCTTCGTCCTTCATGGTTTCTTCTTTTATGTCTCTGAATGTCTTATCTGATATAGCGATATTTTCCAAGGCATTCACACTCTCGATTTCCTGCATTAAATCCCGAATTTCATATATATCATAATAATCATCGATAG